TTTCCAACAGTTTGCTGTAGACTTTTGTCAACAGGTGCCTCCTTCGCTGGCTGGCTCCATACTGAAGATCAAATGGTCAGAAAGAATAAGTAACAAGAAACTCTGGCTGGGAACGAACCAACAAGGAAGAGTCGATCACTCAACAAATATGTAGGAGAAAATGGAGATGGATTGATCGGGGATACATTGAGGAGGCCGCCGAATGACATCGCGCTCAGTACAGGCCATCGCCCGAGTGGAATGGCGATGGGAAGCAACGAGTGAATGGTCGGTGCGAAGGTAACATGGAGGAAATCTTGTGAGTTGGGAGAGATGAGAGATTCTGATCAATTGTGGACCCAGCTGAAGAGGATGGCAGAAAATAGACGGAAGTGGAGATTTGTTGTTGAAGCCAACCCTATGTTCCACTCGGAACTCAAGGGAACAATAATCGACAATAAAAATAATAATAATAATAATATACTCATTGATTGATTTTTTTTTGTTTAATAATGGACTCTGTGTAAGTTGTTCTTAATAATCTCTTTGGTCTGTAAGCAAGTAGCTGATAAGAAACCAATAAAATAAATGATGGTATTACATTATTCTGTAAAGAAACCACTGTTGTTGTTCTTGCTTTATTCAAATTCATTAAGGGGAATAAATGCACGAAGTAACCGATTTCTGTTTATCTTCGAAATTAGTCGAATTCACATTAACGTGATAATTGCAGAAAAACATGAGATAGAAAATAATGCAGGAAGATTTTATGTCAAATATACACTGACGATCTGTCAAAGATTAATCAAAATAATACCTACTACACTGAATGAAATGGTTCAACAAAAAATAACTTGAATACTTGAAAATACTTTAAAAAGAAAATAAGATGACAATTATAATAAAATAAGATAAAATAAATTTTTAAAAAATGTTATTTTATAAATTTATTTTCTCCAATGTTTTATATCTTAAAACCATTATCGGTTAAGCAATATGCACAACACTAGATAGATGATGATATAGTTTATGTTATTCTGTGGATTTTTGTGTATCCATAGTATGACCAACAACATTCAACTAATCTTAATTTATTGAGTTTAATAAAAGGTGACATGGGTTTATTTATGCATTTCGGTTGGGAGTGTTTAAGGCTGCTTGCTTCCCCTATGACCGTTGGTTATTTAGGATTTATTTGTGTGTGTGTGTGTGTGTTTTATGTTTCTAAAACTGACACTACATATTTTCTTTTTATTTTAGTTCTTTACTTATTTCTTCATCCTGTCACTTTTTTAAAATACTTTTTTATAATTGGTGAAGAGGGCAAGAGAGAGGTGAAACGCCATCAAGAATATCTCATAACCAAAATTTAAGATATTTCTGTTGTAAAATGTATCAAATTTTGAGTGATAGAATATAATTTTTGATATGTATCCACATGTATATATATACGTGTATGGTGGTCTCTCTTTCTATTGCTCTCTTAGTCTGTGACCATTTCACTTGTATGAACCTGTCTCCGTTAACAATGTATTCCCCTTATAGTATATATAATATGTGGGTTTGTTGACATGTCTGATATATTTTGCTATGTATATATGGATCGATATTCCATTATAATTAGCCAATCATGTTAAGACTGTCTATTGATTGTTCACACACTTGTTCGGACATTCATACATATTTTGCTCGCACACTCTTGTGTGATATATTGATTCTCCTGGTGTTTTGGAAAATAGAAGTATCATCGCAAACCTAGTGGTCTTCTGATTTCCGTCTTTCTTGCGTCAGGACTATTAAATTCTCGACCAGTACATAACAATAATTTGGCGACGAGTACATAATAATTTTACAACATATTAAATGAAAAATATATTAAAATACTGTCAGTAGACCTTATTGTAACATTTATTACAGTTTACTGGGAATAATGGTAACCTCTTTACTACCAGGTGCAGAGATTTGATTGGTTACAGGATTAATCATAAGCTGACATCAGTTAGAGAATCCTTAGAAAACCTGGGAGTACTGGACAGGACAGCTGTTTTCATCCCGATTCGAGACTCTTCATCGGTACACGTACACTGCCAGGTTTCGAACCAAGGACTTTCCGGTTACGGGGCAAGCTTGTAGATCATTCAGCCATTGGCATGCGACCCAATGGTCCGTGAATTCCAACAGCCAACCAACGTAATCAGCGAGTAACTGATCTCTTACCTGACTTGGTGGACCCTACTGGTTACGAATTCTGACTAGAACTCTAGGTAACTTCGTGTATAGATCCAGTCGCTAGTGGGCATCAGATTAAATAAAGCATAATTATATTTCAATGGTTTACACACAATGATAAACTTTGTTATTGTTAATATTTCGAGCAAAATTACTGCTCGTGTTCACACCACTGTTGGAATTGTTTTCTTCACACATCTATGATTTGTACTCATATATATATATATATAGTTGATAGTTGAACTGAGTCAGACTTGTTCCATGTATCCGGTGTGACCTTAATGAATAGAGATTCTGCTATAAGTCTCTCTTTCCATTAGTTCATAGTAGCTTTAAAAATAAACACATTGTTCCAATCGATATTGTGGTTTTTGTCCCATGTATGTGCAGCTCTATAGATGAATTTTTCTCTAAATTCTTGTAAGGTTGTGTTCCTGTTGGTTGACCTATAGTTAGGCATTTTTGTTCATCCACTCTTATTTTGAGTGATCTGGACGTTTGACCCACATATTTAGTAGGACACTAGGAACAAGAAATTTTGTAAATCACATTGTTTTTATCCATCAGTTTTATGGGATCTTTCGGCTGATTCATTTTTATTTTTAATTAGATTCGTTGGTTTTTGAGGTTTCTTCGAATTGCCTCTGATGTACCATTTTTGTATGGTATTATGACTGTTTTTTTTTGCATTCTTGCGTCTTGTCATTCTCCGGTTTTACCCTCTTTTTTTTCTTATCTTTGATAAATTCTTTTGGGTAGTTGTTGTCGAGTAGCATTGTGAATAGTACATTTATTTCTTTTCGCCGGTCCTCTGATGTTATTGTGAGTCTACTTATTCTATCTGCAAGACCTTGTATTAATCCTCGTTTTACCGTGAGTGGATGAGCTGAGTGATAATCAAGGAATCTTCCAGAGTGTGTAGTTTTTATGCTACCATCTGTTACTCTTTGTATTTTGCAGTCTAACATAGGCAGTTTCCGAATGTTTCATTCTCTATTACTATAGTGAATTTTATCGAGTAGACATGACTGTTTATGTGTGTGAGAAGAATTTTTCAACATCGTTTTTTGTTCATTATTCGTAACGTGTCGTCTAAATATCTCCACCAACATTTTATTGATGACCTGAATGGTTTAAGTGCATTCTCTTCCCAAAAAATCCATGAAAATGTCAGCTATTATTGATGAGATGGGTGATCCCATAGCTACTCTCCTTCATTTTGTGGGTATATTTTTCCTTCAAAGTGTAAAATATGTTGTTGTCAGACAGAATTCCACCCCTTTTATTATCTCTTCTATGCATAACTATGTTCTGTCTTTTAGGCCATTATCTTCTTTTAGTCACGTTTTCAGTACTGACATTGAAGTATCAGATTAATTATCAATTGTTGATTTGCAGGGATTTTATTTATTTATTTTTTATTTTTGATTACAGCTTGATTCCACACCGTATTTTTTTGGTACAAATATGGAATTTTCAGCATGTGATATCGGTAGCCCGAATTTCGCAGGCCAACCATAGATATCAGGTGTGCTTCGTCGGCAGGGGATCGAACCTCGGACCATCTGAATGGTCGGCGAGAGTCCTAACCACTATGCTACCTACGCACAGATAAGCTTTGTTTATATTTAAAGGGAGGACCGTGAGGCCTCCTCACTGACAAAAACTACACGCCCGAGCGCACCCGATTAGGGTCAATCGCGAGTTTCAACCCACGGAGGTGCAATGGTGAGCCTCCACCCGGGGTCAGAGCATTCTTGATCACCATGAACCCGGCGCCAGGTCACGAGTTGACATCATAATATTTAATTAGTTAGCTTCAGGGAAGCAGATTCGGTAGAGGATATGCTGTGGTTTCTCAGTGTTTGCACTCTATGTTCCCTTCTTTAATATAGTAAATGCTTCTGGTACGAAATCTCCAGCAATGTAAATATGCTTCCCATTATTTTCTACTTACTTCATGTTATGCTGTCATTTCCTAGTGGAAAATACGCCTTCAGACTCTGAGGTTTAAAGTTTCTGCTGTGGTGGTGGTGGTGCTGATTTTTTCACTAGCTGGGGCTGCTAGCTTCAAACTCTACCTTCCCCCATTTCGTGCTTACTACTGGCTAGGTGAGCTTTAAGAATGTGTTGGCTGGAAATCCAACCCAAGCTTCAGGCGTGGCTAGTAAGCATTCAACCATTAACGTATCTTATTTCCAACATCCGACTTATCATACTAAATCATGACCCTATAAAAATAGTGGATTTCTTAAGGTATTTACTCCTCATTAGAAAAGTAAAATTTATTATTGTCATTATTATTGTTCCCTTGGGTTCTTAGTCGAATATAGGGCTTCAACTGCACGTCTCCACTTGCCACTTCCGTTTTCCTTCTGCTGCACTTTTCACCTGCATCCATGTTAGTCCATACTGTTTCAACTCCTCTTTACACGATCTCCTCCATGTCACCCCATCCTCCCACTGACGTCCCACTCGCCACTTCCTTTTCTGCCTGGTTCCACTAGGGCAACGGCCTGACGCTAGGGCGATGTCACCCAGCGCGTTGCCTCCTCAGCGAGTGTCCAATCCATCTCAATCCACTTTCTTCTGCATATTTGTTGTTGGGCGATTGGTTCTTGTTTTGTTTGTTTGTTCCCATAGTTTCTTGTTGGTGATTCTTTCCGGCCCGGCCACCTGATCTTCAGTATAGAGTGAAGACAGTTGTTGATAAAGGTCTGCAACTTGTTGGAAACTTAGTAGTTAATAAAAGAAAAAAATATGATATATCCCTGATTTTCCATTTAACTCACCTGATATTTGTTTAGCCAAAGATGAGGTACAAAGTGAGTGAATCACATTAATCACAAATCCATGCACAGATGCTCGTAGAGAAAGTGGACCAGTACACACCAATAAGGTGGCAATATGAAATAATCGAGGCAAATGAGTACAGACTAGAATAGAAGTAAAAAAAATATAAACATTGTTTAGAAAATGTGTTTATTTATTGTTTTTTGCAATAAACTACAAGATTTAAATGCGTAAGGAAGTCCTATGTATACTGAACTTAGTAACTTCACCAACAAAAAGATCAATAATAATAAAACTATTACGAATAGTAATAATAAAAGCGTAAATTGTGACAAAATATTTGTGATTATAATTATAGTTAAACATAGTTTGACTACGGATTGATATCCGTTAGAGAATCATTAGAAATCAACCAGGTAGTACTAGACAGTTATTTTGTCCTAGTTCGGGACTCATAGACAGTAGGAACAGACCGCCAGAGTCGGAACCCAGGACCTTTCGGTGACAAGGTAAGCTTGTAGACTATTCAGCCACTGTGACTCCCCCCATTCAATGACCCATGAATTCTAACTTCTACCAATTCGTGTGATCCACCCTACTGGGAGTGACGACAAATACTCACCAGTGATATTGGTCAGTGATCTTTGTAAAATCACGAATCGGGTCATAGGTAGCTGGATGGCTTACGAGCCTGCCTTGTAGCCGGAAGGTGCTGGGTTCCCTGTTTGGTTTTAAATGGTTCTCTAACTCATATCAATCCGCGGTCAGACTTGAAATAAAACAAGTCCTTTCAAAGTAACTCTTGAAAAATAAAGACACTACTCTACAACGTGACAAGTTTGGTGGGTTGGAGCTTAACATTACATGCATATACTGAATTAAACTAATAAAGAGGGGTGGAAAAATAATACTAGAAACCCTTCTAAGTGAAAATAATAATAACAGTTATAAAATCAATAACAGGGGGAGGTAAGGAGGGAGGACACAAATTCACTAAACAAAATGGGAAGGTAGGTGCTTTTACCCCTCCCTCTTTGCTATCCTAAGGCAAAAATAGAAATAGGGGGACCGTACATACTTCGTTTTTTCTACACTGATCTAACTAATCTTACTAATTCTTCACCCCTTCCTAAGATTTCTACATTCCGTGAACTATTTTATGGTATACTACCAACTTTATCGTTTGATGTTTAACTGTGATTATAATCACAAATATGTTGTCGAAATTCACACACTTTAAAACAAAACAATTTAGTTTATCTAATACCCCCCCCTGCCTGCAATGATTATCAGGTCAAATACATAGGTCAAACTAGTACAACAAGTGCAGTGAGTCAGGCTAGCAGAACATAAACACCTAGCAAAATCTAGATTGGTTGACCCGAATAGGATAGGATATCTAGAGAGTAGTTCAGCCGTAGATAGCACTACATGCAATTACACACAACCATACAATAAGATGGATGGGACAGGATGACAGTTTTAAAGTCTAATGTCACAGCAGGGTGGAGGGAGAGATTGATAACAGAAGCCTTGTTTATCGAATCAACTGCAATCACGTGTAATAGGAATGATTCAACACCTGTCCACCCAGATATCTGGAAAATTCTACTACCCCAGTGATGACAAATAGGAGAGAACAAAGAAAACTATAAAACTCAAGTTTCGAAGTCGTGTGATTACAATTGATATGATTATGAACAATAATGAATTGTGTTCGAAACCTTGTCATCCAGTAAACAGTAATGCTGTTTCACTGTGTGATATATCTAATAAACAAACTAATATGGAATTAAAACAATTAGTCCCTTTGATGAATTTGAATAAGGCATTAAGAATACAAATTTCGCCGCGAGATGATATCATTTCGTAGTTTCTTTACAACCGCTTTACAACTAACATTGGTTAACAATAATAGAATTCTTACTACCACAGTGCCCAAGTTTTACACATATGCTCACACTATTATTATTATTAGTTGTAGCCTTTACTACAGAAGTCAAATATACTAATTCAATACGGATTTATATCCTACCACAGTGTGCCAAATACAGTCTTAATATCCACGTTTTACTACTGTACCTTCGAAAGATACAATAACCCCCTAAGGTAGAAGAAAACTATGTCACTCTATACATGAATATTTTAAAGTGCTCATTGGTAAAAATTTAATTCATTTCGCCACTTGTGACATGAGTGTTGACTTATCGGCTCAGTCATTTGACTTTCATCTAACGGCCCAGAAGGTTCAAAATTGACTGAACATACTTCGCGGCACATAGGAAATTCACTGGTATAATTATCCTTTACAATAAATATTAAGTGTAAATGACGCTTAGCTTAACACATTAAAACATGCACTGACTCTAAACGATTGGCAGTTTGCTAATATCAAACTTATCTGTCTACTTCAATAAAAATGAATACAAAATGATAGTATAAATTTTTTCTTATTCCTTTTATGTTCCCAGTGGAACATAGGGCTTTAAGTTAGAGGCTTGAAGTTTCTGTAGCAGTGATGATTATTTTTTACAGGATGGGGTTGCTAACCTCATGCCCCACCTTCCCTGTTTACCAGTATAACTACTGGTTTAGTGAGGTAAAGGAGTGCGTCTGTGGCCAGGGATAGAACTCCGGACCGAGTGAGGCGTGGTCGGTGAGCACTCTACCACTGTACCACCGACGCATGATAATATAAAATACAGTGCACAAAAATATCTATGTCCATTTGCACTTACTGTCTAAACAATTATTGAATGATAACATTAATAAATATCGTAGTAATGGTGCAGTTTCTGGCCATAATGGATGTTGTTCCAGCAGGGTTGTTGGAGCAGAACAAGTTTTCTCGATAAACTAATCAAAATAAATAAATAAATAATAAAGGAAATAAACCTGGTGGTAAAATGGTTGGAAATATTAAAAGTAAAAAACCTGCAGAATTATCAGTAGGGCTCAGTAACTATATGATAAACACTCAAATTTACTATTCGACATTCATTTAATCTTTATGTGAATTAGAAGTCAATTCTTTCAATTATCTAGGCATTATTATTTCCGCTTGAGGTGGATGGCACGGATAAGGATGTCAAAACCAGGATCGTCTGAAGGGCAAGACAAACCTTCATCACTCTGAATTGAGCTTAGAAATCTTCTGCACTCAGCGTATAGGACAAGATTTAGATTTTCAACACGGATGTGAAGTCAGTCAGTTCTTCTATATGAGTCGAAAACTTGGTGAGTGTGTCACGAAAAGCATTTCCAACAGACTACTACCGCAGACTTCTTTCAACTGCCAGCTTCACTCGCTGGCTCCATAATGAAGATCGGATAGCCAGCCAGCCAGAAAGAATTAGCAACAAGAAACTCTAGGAACAAACCGATCAATAACCTACTACTTGACAAACATAGGGAAGAGGATGGAGATAGATCGGACCCACGTTGAGGCGACTGTCGAACGATATCGCACACCGAGCCATTGCTTGAATGGGACCTGAACGGAAAACGGCGACTTTGGTGTGGATCCGACGGGCGACATGGCGAAGATGAGAGACTATGGAAAATCATGAGGCCACCTGAAGAGGACTGCAGAGAACAGGACAAAGTGCAGATGTACTGCTGAAGCCTTGTACTCCATTCGCAAATCAAAGGAACAGTAATAATAATCACGTGAACCAGAAGTTTAAAATAAAACACGGAGAACAGAAGAGACTAGTCAGATGAAGAACGCCGAAATCAGAGAAACCAGTCTCAACAAATTAAGAAGTGCCATAGTTGTTGTCATTGTCAATCCGTTTCACCACTAAGCAGCGGAGATCACGAATATCATCGATATAAATATAAAACTTAGACGCTGTGGTAGAGTATAACCCCATTTTAGATAAGATTTTATTTTGATAAAATCACACAGTGTTCGTTGTACAGTAATATTAACTGATACGACCACTCTTTTTGGGCACAAACTATTGCCACTCATTATCATATCCACGTATTTACTCACACTTCTTCATTTCATTTATATACATGAGTGAAATTGTTGATTAGATACTGAAACAAAAATCAATATAGGATAATTTACATTCAGAAATTATAATATGAGTGTTATTGATCAAATACAATCAGATGGGAAATAAGACGAGTGTTTTTATACTCATAATAAGTAACCTGTTAGAATGTTATGATGTACGTGAATTGAAATAGAATTTTATGATAATTTATTATCCTCCTCTAATTTGACTGACTGGTGGTAATAATATCTTCCATGCATATCTCTAGTATTTGCATTGAGTCATTTCTGTTGCATGTGTTGTATTGGGTGTAGACTCGATGAACTAGGCAGGATTCAGTAATCAATCTCTCTTCGCCTACTTATAATGCTTCTTAGAATTTTAACCTTCTCCCACCCTATTGTGTGGTTGTGTGTTAATGCATGCAGTGCAATCGCTGAGCTTTTTTTCTAAATTACTCATCTGTCTTCTCCGGGTCAATCATTTTTGCCTTAGCTAAATTCTTATGTGCCTACAATCTAACTACCCTCGACCTACTAATTTGACCTATGTAGTTGACCTCGCAGTCTTTGGAAGGTATTTTGTAAATTATATTATTTTGTTTAATTGGGTCCACCAGGACATTTAGCCTACAGAGCTTGTCTCTTATTTACTTATTTTGACTATGAAAACACTCGTCTTATTTCCCATCTCATTGTATTTGATCAATAACACTCATATTATTATTATTATTATTATTATTATTATTATTTCTGAATGTACATTACCCCATATTGATTTTTATTCAAATGTCTCATCATCAATTCCACTCATGTATACAAATGAAGGAAAAAGTTGTGTGAGTGAGTGACTTGATATGATGATTATGAGTGGCAATAGTTTGTGCTCGAAACGTGATCGCATCAGTTAATATTACTGTATGTATAGCACCACTGTGTGATTTATCAAAATAAAATCTTATCCATAATGGAGTTATACTCTGCCAACACAGTGCCCAAGTTTTTTACTTATATCGTCGAAGCATCCTCCTCACAAGGAGTCGATATGTCAACAGAGACCGAGGACTTCGGTCCAATCAATCACTGATAAAGTTCAAATTAAATTAAATTAATAAATACTGTCTTAAAGACATTCATTCTAATACTGAAGATGCGATCCAGTGGTTCTATGAATCCTATATTGATTTGTATTCAAATGTCTAATCATCAGTTCCACTCATGTATACAAATGAAGGAAAAAGTTGTGTGAGTGAGTGAATTGATTTGATTATGAGTTGCAATAGTTTGTGCTTGGAATATGGTCGTATCAGTTAATATTACTGTATAACACCACTATGTGATTTATCAAAATAAAATCTTATCTATAATGGAATCATAAATATCAGTCTGTAAAACTTTCAACCTGCTTAAACCTTTGTGATATCAATTCTTTTATCGCAAACATTGTTCTCAATCTACTGTTATACACTGAAATAACGGAACTGATACGAATCACTTCAGTGCATGGTAGTGTACAATATAGTCAGTCAATAAAATTACACAAAATAACTCTATTTGAAATAGCCAGCTAAATTCTGAAAAAAATGGAAGTAATCACAAATATGAATAAAAATCTGAAGAAAAGTGTACTAAAAAAGATCTTATGAAGACAATTTGCAATAGCGATTAATTCGCTTAATCTTGCTTTTATTGACACATGAACTGTTCCGTTTTTATTAATTATATATTTGATATGGTTGTATTGTCTGAGGTGGGTGAGCCCTTCAACTCTAGTTGCAAACTAAATGTCAAACGGCACGACATTTATGCCTTCATATCGATGCGTGTAGACAACTATGGACACCGATTTAACTGTGAAAATGTGGAAATTTTGGACGGAGGAAAAATCGGAAATGCCAAGGAATTCCTAGAAGCCCAGTACTCACATGAATCAGCGATTAACAAGCTCATCACCAGAGATTAAATTTATCAATTAATAAAAAATAGATCACGTAACAAGAAAGTTCAAATTCCAAGTCAATAAAAATAACTAGAATTTCATCATGAGCTGGCATTGGTTAGAGAACCATCGGAAAACCTGGGAGTAATGGACAGCTATTACGTCCTCCTCCTTTGAGACTCTTCAGCAGTGCTGACCCACCCAGGACATCCCGGTTACAAGGCGCTATATAGTGAATAGGCAGAAGTTGGAATACATGGACTTGGCGTTTAGTCGGTTTCCAGTGGCTTATTTTTGATGTTGAGTGCTTTTGATCGCCTCCACATAGACTTGAGAGTAATGAAAGCTTGTCTTGCTTTCCCGATCCTCGCTCCTTTGATATCCTCGTCAGTTCCGTCCGCCTGTAGTTGAAACGATGCTTCCCAGGTCGGTAGGTAAAGGAGGTTGTTTCTTTCAGGTTCCTCCCATTTATGCTGGCTGATTGTTGTCAGTCGTTGTTGCTGTTGGTGGCCAGGAATATTCATCGCCTCTGTTTTATCTATGTTCACTTGAAGTAAAGTCCTATCTTTGATGTTTCTTCTTCTGCCAGCTTGTTGCTTTTCACTTGTATACCTTCCAGTTTGTGGGAAATCAGATATATATCATCGGCGAAGTCCAGATCCGATACCGAGTATACTTCTGATGTATTTCTAAATATTTTTATATGATGAACATTCATTGTGGCTTTTCAAATAAACACATATATAACACAACATAACTTACACGACACAATTTTGACAGTACTTTTTTCGATACAAGTTGTTTATTTGCTGCTGCTAGTGCAACTGATGTATCCGCCATTATCTCTGCTTGTAGACTTCCCAGACCACAACTAACAGAACGTTGTATAAAGTTATCTAATACAAGTCCTAACAGTTGTGGTACTTGACCTAATTTACCCCATATTTTTATTTGAATTGATGGATACATTTGTTCTTCTTCAATTGTAAGAGTGATCAATTTATCAATGATAACATTCACCTATATAAAAAATAATAATAAGTTTAATATGAATACGTTAAGAGAAAAAAAGAATGTATACAACCAAAAGGTAATACAGCATTTTACACAAGATAGTTAATTACTGTTGTGATGTGTGCTATACACATGCAGATTGATAGAAAGCGAACAGAAATTGAAAAGAACATTTTAGAAAATTAAAACAATTAGTCCCTTTGTGATAAATTTCAAACTGTATCTACAAGTTCACCAGCAGCTGCGGTGACACACACATATATAGGTAGAACCAACAGAATGTTCCAATGTCGTCGTCGAAAAGAACATGTTCCAAAATGGCTACTGAATCATATAGAAAATTCCAATGCGATTAATCTGAATAGAAATCCAGCATCATCATCACCATCCATTGCAAAACACTTATAATTGTCTGGTCACAAAATCAATCGATATTAATGACTGTTTCACAATTATCTCATCACATAACTCTAATTCAGGGTTGGTTATTGAAGGTGATGGAAGCACTTTGGGGATTAATCACATACAGCCTAAACTGTGTGTACAAAAAACAACAGACTTCAATCTTCGCCTCCATGAACTGACTACATGACCTGTTTAAATTATTATTATTGTTATTATATCCTTTAATTCTTAAAGGAACACAGGGCTTCAGCTGCCCAAGTCTCCATTGCATTCTGTTTTCTGCCAACTTTTTCACTCCGCTCCAAGTCTGCCCACATGCTTTCATCTCCTCCTCACATGACCTCCTCCAAGTCACCCCACCACTGGACGGCCGACTCGCCGCTTCCCTTTCGGATTCCACTCGAGGGCTTGTCTAGTGGTGTCACTTGATGGTTTCCTCAGAGTATGGCCAGCCAATCCATCTCCATTTTTTCCTGCCTACTTGTTTCACAATCGGCTCCTGGTTGGTTCGCTAATTGCCAGAGATCCCTGTTGCTGATCTTTTCTGACCGGCCATCTGATCTTGAGTGTTGAGCAAAGACAACTGTTAATGAAGGTTTGAAGTTTGTTTGAGATGCTCTTTATGATGCGCTGGCCAAGTCTCTGATCCGTATAGTGAGTAGCACTGACTGACTTCACATTGGAGTTGAAAATCCGGATCTTATTTTCATTTTCATACTGAGTGATGTTGACCTCCATACAGATTTGAGAGAAATGAAAATTAGTCTTGCTTTCCTGATCCTCGCTTCCTTGATATCCTCGTCAGTTCCGTCCGCCTGTAGTTGAAACGATGCTTCCCAGGTAGGTGAGCAGGTAAAGGAGGTTGTTTCTTTCAGGTTCCTCCCATTTATGCTGGCTGATTGTTGTCGCTGTGGTTGTTGCTGTTGGCCAGGAATATTTATCGCCTCTGTTTTCTCTATGCTCACCTGAGGGAAGTCATATCTTCTCTGGATGCTTCTTCCTCTGTTGACTTGTTGTTTTTCACTTGCCTATCTTCCAGTTTTTGGGAAATCAGACATATATCATCAGTGAAGTCCAGATCCTCCAAGTCTTTTGTGTGGGTTCATTTTATGCCTGTTTCCTCATTGCCCGCCACTGTCTGTCGCATTATCCAATCTACCACACTCAGGAAAATCATTGGAGATAATAGACAGCCTCGCCTCACTCCCGTCCTCACTTCGAAGGCCTCCGTAAGTTTCCCGTTGTGGATTACTTGGCATGCAGCATTGTCGTATAGCTGTTGGATGAGATGTATAATTGTCGATGGGACTCCGTAGCAGCGAAGTAGTTTCCAAATGACCTCTCGATCGACGCTGCGCTGTCGGAGGGCTCTTCAAAGTCGATGAAGTTGAGATAGAGAGGTGACTGCCATTCCAAGCTTTGTTCAATGATGATCCGTAGTGTGGCGATTTGATCAATACATGACTTGTTTCCCCTGAATCCAGCCTGTTCCGGTCGAGGTTTTTCATCGAGGGTCGCTTGTTTGATTCTCTGCAGGACGATTCGGCTCAGTATTTAGCTTGGGATGGACAGGAGTATAATTCCGTGCCAGGTTTTGCATTGACTTAAGTCTCCTTTCTTTGGTAGTTTGAATAAGTATCCGTTCTTCCAATCCTCGGGTACTTTGCCCTCTTTCCACACCTTCTCCAGCAGTGGCGTCATCAAGTCCGCTGTTGTCTCTGGGTCTATTTTCAAAGCTTCTGCTGGGATTGCATCTGGTCCTGCTGCTTTCCCAGCTTTTAGCATCTTGATGCCATTCAGGACTTCTGATTTTGTCGGGGGGTCAATGTTCACTGGTAGTTTTGCTTCCGTTGTTGGTATTGTTGGGCGCGTTGTAGGTGGCGGTCGATTTAGAAGCCTTCTGAAGTGTTCAGCCCAGTGTTTCCTTTGCTCCACCTCCTTGGTGATTGACTTTCCATTGTCATGGATATCGGTAGCCCATATGTTGCAGGCCGACCATAGATATCAGGTGCGCTTCCTCGGCAGGGGATCGAACCTCGGACCATGTGCATGGTCGGCGAGAGTCCTAACCGCTATGCCACCGACGCCTCCTAGTTGATGAAAAGCTTCACTAATCCACATCTATTGTAGCATCATTTTATTTCTATTGGCATATTTTGTTTGAGCTTATGTATTTCCGTGTCTATACATCAGTCAGTCAGTCAGAATGTTAATGTTCAGATTTCGGATTGGAAATCTTCCACGAGTTGATCACGGATTGATATCAGTTAGAGAACCATTGGCAGCCAGTACTGGAGTACTGTACAGCCAGCTGTTTCATCAGCCTAGTTTGGGAATCATCGCCAGTACGCACCCACCACAGAGGGTTCGAACACAGGAACTTCCAGTTACAAGGCAAGATCGCATAGCATTCAGCCACTGAGACCCAATTCAATGGTTCATGAATTCTAACTTCTACCAATTTGTGATTCAGCGCGATCCCAACTAGTGTCATCAGTGGGACATTCATCCTCACACGTAACTGAATGGACCTAACTGGTCACGACTTGTCACTAGAACTCCAGGAAGCCCTATCCTCTAACAAGTCACTAGCGAGCATCAGATTAATTTTCCATAGTTGGTTTGTACTGCAGATGATTTTTTTTTTGATTTACAGCTTGATTCCACACTGTATTTTCGGTACAAGTATGGAATTTTCAGCATGGATATCGGTAGCCCAAATTTTGCAGGCCGACCATAGATATCAGGTGTGCGTCGGCGTGGGCTCGAACCTCGGACCATGTGCATGGTCGGCGAGAGTCCTAACCACTGTGCCACCGACGCACAGGCCGATGAAGCAGCTGGCTGTCTGGTAATCCAGCGCTGGTTTTCAACGGTTCTTTAACTCATATCAATCCATGATCAACTCGTTAAAATAAAACTAACCCTTACAAACCAACTATTGAAAATCTTTCATTAAGTTTTCAGTTCAGATATAATAGAGAAGATTTGTAGCTCAGGTGGATGATTTTGATGTGGTTTTGTTCTCTGAGCTGGATGGTTAGTTTGCGAAGCTTTCATCACCCTACTGGGTGACATCTTCAGCGCATACTTCAATTCGTTGAAGTGAGCTTTTAGATTTCTCCACGAGTTTATTAATAATCTCTCCTGGTGACCTTGGACGTGATTGGTTGTTTGTGTGTGTTTTCACACCTTCTAGGTTACTTGTGGTATTGGAGCTGATTGTTTCTTTGACTTGAACTTTGACCCTTTGTGTGTGAAGTTTCTTTCTTACTGGTTGATAAATTTTGTCTATCTCGATGTGTCTATTGATTGATGATTCACTGGAATACCAACGACATCAAATTCACAAGAGAAGAGGAATCCGAGAACAAAATATCATTTTTGGACGTCTTAGTCAGGCGAACAACTACAGGAGAATTAGAAACTCAAGTTTATAGGAAATCAACTCACACAGACCAAATACTGAATTGCAACAGCAACAACGCAATAACACACAAGAGGAATTGCATACAAACACTATTTAAGGGAGCAAGGACTCATTGCAGGACTCCCACCTTAAGGAAAATTGAAGAAAAGTATCTCATGGACGTCTTCCAAAAGAATGGATATCCATGTAATTTCATCAAGAGACATATAACCCCAAGCCAACCTACCAAATCAAAAGCCAACAAGGAAAGCACAAAGAAAATCGCCTTACCATATATAAAGGATATCTCAGAAATCACTACATGACTCTTCAAACCTTTAGGAATTGACGTCGTACACAAACCAACAAAGTCGCTGCACTCAATTCTATGTCAACCAAAAGATTCAACAGTGAAAGAAGACAAAACCAACATTATCTACAAAATAAACTGTAACAACTGCGAAAAACACTACATTGGCCAAAGTGGACTACCCTCCACTTCGTCTTCGTATCCACGAAAATAAGCTAGCCGTCAAAAGACATGATATCCACTCCCTCATTTCACTACACACAGACAACTACGGATATCAATTCGACTGGGACAAATAGCGTTCAAATATTAGACAAAGGAAATAACAAGAATGCTAGAGAATTTTTCAGAAGGCTCCCTGGTATTCCAGTGAATCATCAATCAATAGACACATCGAGATAGACAAAATTTATCAACCAGTAAGAAAGAAACTTCATACACAAAGGGTCAAAGTTCAAGTCAAAGAAACAATCAGCTCCAATACCACAAGTAACCTAGAAGGTGTGAAAACACACAAAAACAACCAATCACGTCCAAGGTCACCAGGAGAGATTATTAATAAACTCGTGGAGAAATCTAAAAGCTCACTTCAACGAATTGAAGTATGCGCTGAAGATGTCACCCAGTAGGGTGATGAAAGCTTCGCAAACTAACCATCCAGCTCAGAGAACAGAACCATATCAAAAAAAGTTTTCACTTCAACGTGAAACAGTGCATTTCTTTTGGATACTAGTCAGAGAGCTGAGAATGCCTTTCTTTTTTAATAGACGGAAACATTTTTATAATTAATTAGTCTCAGTATTGCAAACTCATTCATGCAATAGGTCTATTTCGTCGCATTTCTTCGTTTAATTTACACTATGACTTCAAACGATTTCTACGTTTATCTTTGCCGGCGTAATCTATGACTCGATTCGCATTTATGAGATGTGGTCAGTAATAATCCCATGGCATTCATCAATAATATCTATCTGTCAAATAAAACTGAGGCCTTATACACTACACAATGGTTGGTGTTTAACTTTCCTGTTCTTAACTAATTACTTGTACGTCATGAAAACATCAATAAAAAAAAGAACTTTCATCATCTCAGTGGCTGACTGCATCAGGAGAATTTTCAGCAGTGATTGCTTAGGAGAAGAGCTCTTAATGCTCAAAAATATCCAGGCTCAAAATGCGTACCCAGCACGTTTCACGGAGAAAAACAGGACATCAAAGCCAAAAATAGGACGGTTTACTCCAGTATCAAAGAAAACACTATATTTCAATCTAGACTTCAGAGGAAATTTAGCTGGAGATATTCCAAGGAGAAGCATCTCTAGTTCCTTAATAAAGATCTTTCCTGAAGTTACAATAAGAGTGATATTCTCAAGCCGCTTACTGCTTCTAAGTAATGTAAAGGACGAAATCGAGCATATGACCACTCTAATGTGCATATATTAGTTTACCGGCTTGCGCGAAACCAGGTACTTAAGTCATTCTATGCGGGTTTGTATAAGAAAGTGTTAAAGAAAATTACCCAGCATGGCTGCAAAGAGCAGGCACTGGCTCAGTCGGAAGCCGTATAGCTGACTGAACACCTCCGTTAACACCTTTCAAAGCATCTTGAGTAGTGACTCATCAGTCAGAGTCACTAACAAGGCAAACAAAAAAAGTCTACCAAAGATCGTGTGTTTCTGACTTATTTTTACTGCAGTAGCCCTCGACATGCTCATCGAAAAGGCGGAGATGGGCGTTCAAAAGAAACTAGTCCAACCTCTACAATATACTATGGATCTAGTTTGGTTTGAGCCTTTGGTTTTCCTTTTTTGTTTCTTTTCATTTCAGTCATAAAAGGCTATTTTATTTCAATTTGTTTCCATGTTCATGCCATTCACGCCAGTCTTCGTTAAAAAAAAAACCTATTTTCTAATTCTGTGTAATTTTGTTTCTAAGCCCCTTGTAATCTCTACACTAAACACCTTCAAAGTTTTATATCAAGTTAAAAATTAATATCACCTTTAATCACCTTCGTTATTATTATGTGGCATGGAATATAATTAACTGTGTCTCTGTAAACTTATGGATTGTACAGCTTTTGAAGATGACGTCAGTGAAAAGGTATCTTTGCTGAACTTCTTGTTCTTTTCCCTCAATTTACTCAATTTTAGGCGATAAAAGTGTTTATAAAGTCATTAAAAACTTTTATCTAAACAATAACTTTTCTACGAGAATTATGAGAATTATGAAAGTATTGCGATAGACGGATTTACTTAGGTTAGACTGTTTTTTTCTTTCCTTCACGTTCCCAGTGGAACATAGGGCTTCAAGATACGTGCTTGAAGTTTTTGTGGCAGTGGTGATTATTTTGACAGGATGAGGTTGCTAGCTTCATGCCCAGTCTTTCCTCTTTACCAGCTTTATTTCTGGCTTAGTGAGGTGAAGGAGTGCGTCGGCTGGGGATGTAACTCGGACCATGTGCATGGTCGGCGAGCGTCCTAACGGCTGTGCCAACGACGCATTTGAAAATGAAACGGTTCAAAATAAAGATGACGTTCAACTCGACATTTAATTGCATACCACTTCGTTTGGTTTATGGTAAATACATGGGCGTTGGTTTTGAGGTTTAATGAAGACATCATCAATTATTGATGATGCAGGTACATCCAGTCGGCAAGTAACATACAGGATGACATGCACACCCTGGATTTCACCACCAATCAGTGGTCAACTGATATCATGCGAACCTCCAGACATGGTTGAAGTATCCGTAAGAGGATCCGGCACGTGAAAAGAGAGAGACCGAGTGTTTCAGTTCAGTATAATAAATCAACGAGGAATATAAAACTGTCTTAAACTTAAACATCGATTCCAATATGTGAAGAAGGAACTAACTTTTTGTCGTTTAGCATCATCTGAACGACAGAATCGTGTTAAATTCGGTAACCATGGTGTAATATATTCCAAGCACAGATGTTTCATTTCAATACTTGATCGACTGAAACCTTGAATACATTCTTCAAGAAATTCCAAAGTTAAATGAGGTTCTAGTTGAGCTAAACGATTACTAATCTCAGTAATGAAGAGGGTATTATTTCCAGGTATACACAGTCCTTTTGTTTCTAAGAGTTGTCCTTCAATTTTTAAATTAAATGTTTGCGTTAATGCACACAGCAAGTTATATGCAGCTGAACGTAGATTTGGATCTGAACTGCCAAGATTGAGTAATGCCTAAAAAAAGCACAAAAAAACAGAGATGATGAACAGATTTCTTGATATAAGCATAAAACTTGGGCACTGTGTTGGCAGAGTATAACTCCATTATGGATAAGACTTTATTTTGATTGATAAATCACACAGTGTTCTTATACAGTAATATTAACTGATACGACCACTCTTTTTGGGCACAAACTATTGCCACTCATTATCATATCCACGTATTTACTCACACTTCTTCACTTCATTTATATACATGAGTGGAGTTGATGATTAGACATCTGAATAAAAGTCAACATAGGATAATGTACATTCAGAAATAATAATAATATGAGTGTTATTGATCAAATACAATCAGATGGGAAATAGGACGAGTGTTTTTATAGTCAAAATAAGTAACTTGTCAGAATGTTATGATGTACGCGAATTGAAATAGAATTTTATTTTTTATTTATTTATTTATTATCCTCCTCTGATTTGACTGACTGGTGGTAATAATATCTTCCATGCATATCTCTGGTATTTGCATTGAGTCATTTCTGTTGCATGTGTTGTGTCGGGTGGAGACTCGATGAACCAGGATTCGGTAATCAACGTCCGTCTTCCGCTACTTATATTACTTCTTAGAACCTTAACACTCTCCCACCCTATCGTGTGACTGTGTATTAATGCATGCATTGCAATTGCTGATCTTTTTTCTAAATTACTTATCTTCTCGACGTCAACCATTCTTACCTTAGCTAAATTCTTATGCTCCGACAATCTGACTACCCCCAGCCTACTATATTGACCTATGTAGTTGACCTCACAGTCATTGCATGGTATTTTGTAAATGATATTATTTTGTTTAATTGCGTCCACCGGGTCTTTTAGCCTACAGAGCTTGTCCAACCTGAGTGAGTGTGTAGGTTTGAGTGCCACCCTTTTTCCTGCTTTACTGAGAATCCTACGCAGAGAGGGTTTCAGATGTCCCCTCCTTATATGGTACAACAGTAGATGACTTATTTTCTTTCTCATTTATGTTATCATTACTAGTTTCACAACTATTTTTAATTTGCTTTTGGTCTTTTCCGATCTTTTTAACGAATTTTATATGATACTTATTACCACCAGTCAGTCAAACCAGGGGAGGATAATAAATTATCTTAAAATTCTATTTCAATTGAATTCACGTACATCATAATATTCTGACAAGTTACTTATTTTGACTATATAAACACTCGTCTTATTTCCCATCTCATTGTATTTGATCAATAACACTCGTATTATTATTTCTGAATGTACATTACCCCATATTGATTTTTATTCAAATGTCTAATCATCAATTCCACTCATGTATATAAATAAAGCAAGAAAGTTGTGTGAGTGTGTGACTTGATATGATGATTATGAGTTGCAATAGTTTGTGCTCGAAATGTGGTCGCATCAGTTAATACTACTGTGTAACACCACTGTGTGATTTGTGAAAATAAAATCTTATCTATAATGGAACTATTTTCTTCAGTACATTTATTTAAGAGTAATTTCAATGACCATATACGATTTAGTAAATATTAGTTACGCTAAATATACGAAATCTAACTGGTTGTTTTAATTTATATGCATCGAGTACATGAATTTTTGGCGCAAACTTAAAACTAAAGTTGTCAAGAATAATATTTATTTTACTGAACTATTAATGTGAATAACATATAATATTCCCTGAAATGAAAATTCTCTAGCCAGTCTGATATTTGATCTCATAGTTATATGACAAAGATCGCGAAAAAATTCTCCTGGAGGCAAAATACTCGAATCAATTTCCGATGAATACCAGTGTGGATGTAGATCAAATGCATATCGATCAATAAAAAAATCGGTTGAATATCGATCAGATCAACCAAACGATCGATAACAATACAGGTGGATACAATCCTATGAAAAACTACAAGAACGACTAATCACAAACAAGGTCACTAGGGGACACAAAACCTTTTTCATCTATGGAGAATTCCCAAAGCTCGCTCGCTATACAATGAAGCTAACGATGAAAGTGTATATATATATATATATATATATATATATATATATATATATATTTGACTGGACACTAGTCAGTGACTAGTGTAAGGTGTCTAGTTCTATCTTCGGTGCAGACTGAATTCTATCAGTCAAGTTTGCAATGTGGCCACCATTCTAGGTAGCTCACCCGAATAGTTCAGTGGTAATCTTTGCAATGAAAGTGTTCGATGGGAAGGTCTATCTATGAAGGCTACCATAGCCTTCACTTTGAACAAAAGGCATTTGTAAAAAATTATATTCGTAAACTCTCAGCGAAATTGAAATCACCTAATTCCAACGTCTAGTTTGGCAATCTGGTCCGAACTTCTTCAGGGAAATTAATCGAAATTAACATAACAGAGGTTTATATATATATATATATATATATATATATTTAAAGACATCTCTTGTTTTTTTAAAAACTTTGTTCAATCACATGAATTATGAAACAGGTATCAACATGTATAATAAACAAAGTTGTAAGAACTGTGATCAATTTCGCTGAGATTTTACAAATATAATTTTTTACAAGTGTCTACTTCTCACTCAGAGCCCAATTATTTTGGAACTATTCTCTCAAATCTTGATCACAGTTCATATGAATTTGAATAATCGTATTCTAGTTGGGTATGCTACTAATAACTCAACATTTTTCTTTCTGTATTTCCTGATGATTTTTTGAATGGTTTTCCCCAACTGATGTCAACTTGTGACCAAACATGTAAACAATCAAAAATCTCTGCAAACTAACACTTGATACAAATTGTAATTGCATGGAGGATTTCATTATGAGCTGACATCACTTAGAGAACCACTGGAAAACCAACTGGGAGTACTGGACAGCTATTTCGCCAGCCTAGTTTGGGACTCTTCAGTAGGGGACTCTTTAGTAGGGTACAGCAGGTCAAAGATGAGGCAATCACTCATCGAAGAAGACATTTCGAAATAGTCGCGTTATGTTGTGAATTGGCAGAAGTTAGAATTTATGGACTGGTCATTGGATTGGGTCCCACCCAGTGGCTCAATGGTCTACAAGCTCGCCAGCCTTGTAACCAGGAGGTCCTGGATTCAAACCCTGGTGGTGGTGGGTGCGCACTCATGAAGAGTCCCAAACTAGTGTGGCGAAACAGCTGTCCAGTACTCCCAGTTGGTTTTCCAGTGGTTCTCTAAGTGATGTCAGCTCATGATGAAATCCTCCGTGCAATCGAACAAAATCCCTACAAAACTAATACTTGAAAAACAAAAATGTAATTAGCGAATAATTATACACCAACTGTGTCAGCGATAAGAAGAAGCAATAAATTAGAAAAGATCAAGCCAATATACTCTGAGCGTTAGACTGCATAAACACACAAAAAAAAGCAGGGATATCAATATTACTGACTGTCTAACAGTTGTAAACATTCTCGCCTAATACAAACAACATTTATTTGCGTCAGAATGTCATAACAACTATGATGTACATAGTTTCCTTTTAGAAGCATAATAATAAATAATGTTAAATGATTTTAAGCAAATAAAGCAAATAAAATATTTGATATTATTTAACCAGTCAAAACTAATATTTGTTTTTCTTTATTAGATTCGACTAATCTAATGCATTTCACAGAAATGTTTCTAGTGTTTGCCTTGTGATTTCAAGAAACACTGAAACATTGAACAATATGATCGAGTGTGACTTTTATTCAGCCTTGTTTCAAGGTCATGATGATAAATTGACATTTCCACAGAGGACTTTAATTAAATTACTTATAAAAAAAGCAACAAATAAGCCAATGAAAAACCCTTCAAATGAAAGAACTGATAAATGCATAATAATAATAATAATAATAAAAACTGCCCGATAAGATGACAAAAAAAAACACAAACAAACTGACTATATTTAATAATGTCCCTGGAACATCACGTGGACGAATTTTAGCATGAATTGCTGGCGTGTCAGGTTGAGATAATGCCCATCTAGTGCGTATATGAATAATTGCTTGAACAATAGAATCGCATGCATCATGTATAAAAGACAATGGTCCATTATCATTTAATATAGTCAGTGTGAATTGATTATTGTCAACTAAACAAACCTGAAGGAGAGAAAAAAGAAGACAAAAGAAGACAAAAAAAACAACAGTTTTATGCATTGAATGGGAGTGGTAAGGTGAACAATTAGAAGAAAATTATACTGTACACCTTTAAGTGGCCAACTAAGCGAGTTTTGACATGGAACACTGCATAGAAGTGCAGTAGTTCAAGTCTAGTCAGTAAGATGCATCTGCATAGTCGAAGAAGTTGATGTCGCCTCGCAGATTCGAACCCTCGTCACTCAGTAGTGCAGTCGGAGATGTAACGATTGAATTAGTCGAGATCATGCAGAACAATGACGATATAAGGGGTTGTGGAGACTGCATGCAGTAAATACATCCAAGCCATTGAATCTTAGCATTTTAAGGACCCTAGCTAGGTTCCGTGAGCCATATCTGTTGGCACAACCCAACAGCCGAAGGATTCAGGGAATGATTTCATGTGTTGATTTTAACACCCGAAACTCGTTTCTAATTTTATACCAGCCAACATCGCTTGACCAGGAACGCGACAGTTCGACAGGCATAACTCATATCACAACCACTAATTTTCCCTTCTTACCTAACACTGATCCTTTTCAACGTTCCTTTGCATTCTGAGGGAAACATAAGGCTTCCAGCCTTGAGCTGTCAAATTTCACTAGTGGCGATGTTCCTTTTTACAGAGTGACGTAACCGGCCCCACGCTCAACCTTTCCTCTTTTCTAGGTTTACTAAAGGCTGTTGAACTAATTGAATTTTAAGAGTGTATCCCAAGGAATCGGACTTAAGCCAGCGTTGTGGCTAGCGAGCATTCCTGCTGTTGAACCAGCAACACACAACACTTAACACTCATCTGTCTATAATTATTATTCGTCTCTTCCTAAGATATTAGATATTTTGTAATTTTAATGCACAAAAAAGTCAAAAAGTAAATTTTTTTTCTTATTCCTTTACGTTCCCAGTGGAACATAGGGCACCTTCAAGCTAGAGGCTTGAAGTTCCTGTAACAGTGGTGATTATTTTTACACGATGGGGTTTTGCTAGCCTCATGCCCAGCCTTCCTTCTTTGCCAGTCTTACTACTGGCTTAGCCAGGTAAAGGAGTGAGTTTGTGGCCGGGGATCGAAACCCGGACCAAGTGGAGGTGTGGTCGATGATCATTCTACCGCTGTTCCACCGACGCACCAAAAGTAAATAAAATTATCTAATTATTGGATGGAATTAATGGTATATAATTTCAGAAGTGTATAAAACGCAGTACATAACTCTGATTTCCTTAAACTAAATAACACAATATTCTTAAGTAGTTTGCAACTCTGTACAAGTACACTAGCATAGTGTGCATCGGTGGCACAGTGGTTAGGACTCTCGCCGACCATGCACATGGTCCGAAGTTCAATCCTCTGCCAACGCACACCTGATATCTATGGTTGGCCTGCAAAATTTGGGCTACCGATATCACATGCTGAAAATTCCAGACCTGTACTAAAAGATACGATGTGGAATCAACCTGTAATCCAAAAAAAATATTCAAATTTTATTTCCAAGCATTGCAATCTGTAATCTGAAATAACTTGTCGAAATTACGGTTACCATCGGCTCTGTATACAATCAACTCTTCAGATTGAATTTTGAATAAAAATAAACAAAAACATAAAATCTATCCCATCAGTTTTTAAACTGATTTTCGAAATACTCATTTGATTCGAGTTATTGTCATTTAGTTGATGTGGTGGCTTGCAATGAAGTGCAGGACGCGCGCCTCATTCTGTTTGAAATTTGACAGATGGACGTGACTGTTTCCCAAGTGACTGATGGGGGATTCTCATTGAAACTCACTCCCAGCATCTATGACTTCAAACGTTGAAGTATCATCTACTAAGCCATTAATGGGTCATGAGAACCACCTTTTGTGCAAATTACATATTTTCTCCTGACAAGAAAACCAGATGGTACCATAAAAAGAAATTTGCATAGAAAAAGTATCTGGACAGGACAATATACACATTTTCACAGCTTTTCTTCCTCTCAAGTACACGAGGAATTTAGTAAAGACCCTCAGCCACAGGGTTAGTTAGAGCTATATGCTCTGAAGAAGTAATTCAAGATGAATTAAGCATCGTGTATATGATGCCTTGATTGAAAACAGCTAGCTATCGCGACAAATTTATCAAGAAACATATGACAAAGAAAGCGGAAAAGGACCACTCACTATCTGTAAAAAAGAAGCCTCTTTATATACGACTACAATTCAAGGGCGATATACCAAGCGAGATAATTGCGAAGAAATTAAGAAAATTAGTTCAAAGAACTTTTAATGCTGGCGAACTACACGTATTATTCTCTACACGACCAATGGTAACTCCTCGACTGAAAGATGAAGTATCTAGTACCTAGTAAGCCACTTCTAATTGTATCTACCAATTCAACTGTGCTTGTGGAGAGAGTTATATCCACAGTTGCTCTAGGAACTTGATTTTTCATGCTCACTCGAGAACATCTCCCACTATGACTAGGTAAAGGTGTAGTTAAAACCATTAACAGTTCGATATTAAAAGAGAAGACGTTCAGCGAAGAGACTCTTTTCGGCGAATTCATTCACATAGCTGTACAATCGCATTTATATATAATTATTTGAGTGTGTGTGTGTACATGAGGTTTGTCAAAATTAGATAATTGATCAGGTAATAAAAGAATGATCTAATATAGAAACAAAGTTAATTGGACAGCAACTAAATTAAGATTGAGTTAGTAAGTTAGATGACGTAATACAATTGACTAAAATGTTTTAACTTAGGTCAGGTTAGCAACAGAGGTAATTACAGGTAGAGACTAAGTAGAAGTGGGGTAGATAATAATGCCATTTAGATTAGAAATGAAATTGAGCAATTAAGTTGGATGACGTAACATAAATGACTATAAATTGAGCGTTGGTCAGGTCAATTAAAGTGGTAGTGAGGTGTAGAAATTAAATCGGGTAGGGGTAGAGACAAGAAAGTTGAAAATGCAAAATATTACAATTGAGAAGACAGAATAATACCAATGAAGAGACAGAAAAAAAAAATTAGGTAGAATTTACCTTTCAGGTAATAATGTAGGTTAAGTCCATTGTAAGTTTAGTGATTGAACGAACCTCTTCTGTATGCAGAGTTCAGGGCTTAGCAAGTGAATCGCCATTGCTTCTGCAGTTTGAAGAAGTCTGATTCGTACACCTTTTGGAAGACTACTTCTTACTCTGTAGACGACTTTGAAGTTTGTTTGGGGTGCAGCTTGGTGTCCGGATTCTATCAGGTGTTCTAAGATGGAGCTGCGGGGACATCGCTTTTCTCCTTTGTAAAACCATGCTGGTAAGTGTTCGGTGATACGCTTGGAAAGCGAACGCTGGGTACGGCCGACATACCTGGCTCCACACGAGCAGGTGAATTGGTAGATACACATTGATGAGGCCAACAGTGGTAGCTTATCCTTCACGTTCACATGAATCATAGGTTTTGTGGAGAAAGTTAGTCGTAGTTCAGCTGCGAAGAAAGTCTTCTTGAGTGAGCGCGACAGTCGATTTTTTAGTATTTCCGCAGATATATCTCCATTGAATTGAAGGTTTATGTAGAGCGGTTTCTTCGGGACGCTATGCGTGGGCGGCTTTTGTGGCCTAGGATTCATAGATTTTGCAATAAATCGTTCTGGGTAACAATTCTCGACGAGGATTCTCTTGAGATTGTCCAGTTCATCTTCTACGGTGTCCGGGGTACAAATTCTGCGAACTCTGTTGCTAAGTGAACGGATCAGGTTCCGTTTGGTGTATAGGGGTACCCAACTGTGGAAGTTAATCAGCTGTCCGTTCCATGTTGACTTTCTGTAGATAGATCTTTTCAGTGTTCCATCGTGTTCTCGTCTTGTTAGTTGGATGTCAAGAAAGGATATTTTAGAGTTGGACTCTTTCTCCAGCGTGAACTGAATTGCGGGGTGGCACTTGTTAAACGACTTCAGGATGTCGTCTAGATTCTCTTCATTGTTGACGATAATGAAAGTGTCGTCGACGTATCTCTTGTAGATTCCGAAGGTATCGATCATTTTCTTCATGCATGTGTTTTCGAGTTTTGCCATGAAGAAATCTGCAAGTAATGGGCCTAGTGGTGAGCCCATAGCTATACCATCCTTTTGGCGATATATTTCGTTGTTGAAAGAGAATTGAACATTCAGGGTACACCTCAGAAGGAGTTCTTTAAGACGCTCGGTGGGTATACCGATGTTTATTCCTTTGGAATCAATAAGTTCGCATACATAGCATATTGTTTCAGTCAGTGGAACATTTGTGAATAGTGATGTGACATCTAATGAGATCATGGTCCTGTTGGATACGTTGATGTTTTCAATTGAGTCGATAAAGTCGAATGAATCTCGAACTGTGTGGCAGGAAACTTGTCTTCTGATTGGTTCTAGTAGATCTGCTAGCCATTGGGCTGTGCGGTGATAAGGCGAATTGGTCATGTCAAGGATCGGTCGAAGAGGGATACCGTTCTTGTGTACTTTCGGAAGTCCATAGAGTCGTGGTATATTTGAGCCGGATGGTCTTATGGATTCAAACGTTTCGTTGCTGATGAAAGATTCAGTTTTTAGCTTACGGAGGGTGTCCGTTAGCTTTTGTTCGGTCTGTTCAGTCATGTTTTTCTCGTTGACCGGTTTTGTGAATTTACATTCATCGGATAGTATAGTCAGCATCTTACTGATATAGTCCTTACGATTCATGATAACGATTCCTCCGCCTTTATCAGGACGTAATATCATAATCTCTTCGTTTTTCATAAGTTCTTTCAGCTCCTTATAATGCCTCTTCGTCAAAATGGACCTTCCGTTGGGTTTGGTATTTATAAAGGTAAAGGTAAATTCTACCTAATTTTTTTTTTCTGTCTCTTCATTGGTATTATTCTGTCTTCTCAATTGTAATATTTTGCATTTTCAACTTTCTTGTCTCTATCCCTACCCGATTTAATTTCTACACCTCACTACCACTTTAATTGACCTGACCAACGCTCAATTTATAGTCATTTATGTTACGTCATCCAACTTAATTGCTCAATTTCATTTCTAATCTAAATGGCATTATTATCTACCCCACTTCTACTTAGTCTCTACCTGTAATTACCTCTGTTGCTAACCTGACCTAAGTTAAAACATTTTAGTCAATTGTATTACGTCATCTAACTTACTAACTCAATCTTAATTTAGTTGCTGTCCAATTAACTTTGTTTCTATATTAGATCATTCTTTTATTACCTGATCAATTATCTAATTTTGACAAACCTCATGTACACACACACACTCAAATAATTATATATAAATGCGATTGTACAGCTATGTGAATGAATTCGCCGAAAAGAGTCTCTTCGCTGAACGTCTTCTCTTTTTCATATGACTAAATGGGGATTTTCAAGTTCGATATTAGACCATCTGGTACAAAGCGGCCACAAAGCCAGCCATCGTTAAAGAATCCTTCTCTATTATCTACCTGGTGCTAAATAAATTGCCAAAAACATCGAAGTACCGTATGCTCCAAAAAGCAGAGGCCATTGCAATTAGCGTTAAACAAACAGTGCTTTGTGTACAGAAGAAGCAAGTCCAGCCAGCCACTACTACTGCCCTGTCTGGCCTTCAGTAGAGACTATAAACTCATTAAATATTAATATTATCTTTCCTAATTTTCTGACATTCACTTTATTGGTATGTTGATGCTATTGAGCTGTAATCCACTGGTATTATTATTATTATTGATTCGATGTTATTTAAACAGCAACATTAATGTTGTTCATAATACTAATTCATTCATTCACTGTAATGTGTATATAACTGTAGAGCCCGATGAAGAAGAGGTTATCGAAAAGAGTATTCTTTACAATTGGTGGATGGTGGCTAGCAGTGGAATCCAGGATGCGCATTTCGTCCTATTTGGGACTCGTCAGCCAGTGGATGTACCTGCATTTCTCAGTGAGTGATGATGTTCCCACCGAGGCTCGAACCCAGTGCCCATAGTTTCAAACGCCAAAGTGTTATCCACTAGACCACTTGGGCCACGAGAGACACCTCTTGTGCAATTGTATACAAATCAAATCTGCAGATATCGTCGAAGCATCTGCACAAGAAGCCGACATGTCAACCTGAGATCGAGCACTTCGGTCCAATCAATCGACGGGAAAATCAAAAATTCAATTCAATAAAGAGTATTCTTTGTCCAGTATCCATTCTTTTGAAAATTTTAATGGGCATTTCTGTTCAGTTAAACTCAAAAATGTCTTTTTAGGCTACACATACTGCTGTACATTCATCCTCGCATTGACACGCTTTCATACCTTATAACTATAGTACTGATAGTAATAAAATTAATAATGATAATAATAATAATAAAAGTAATTACTAAACAAAATACGCTTATTACATACTTCTTCAATTTCTGATGCATAATATACATCATTTAAAATTACTGAATGACCAAGAACTTTGGTTTTTTCAGTTGATGTGACTTGAATAGCATTGGTGCACACCTAAAAATGGGCAAGCAAAAAAGAAGTTAAACAATTGAAGTCGAAATTACCAGGTGATTTAAAAAATGTGATCTTTCACATCCGGTTACATTATAGTTACATTTTATTACACAATTTTTATTCTTTACGTGGGATGTTAAAGGTTGTCAGCAGCGTAAGCCATAGGGTGCCACTTAACCAGCTTCTTAATATTCTGGTCAACAAGCACTTGGACTCATGTGAAAAATTGGCTAAATCCATTCTATCTATCTAACTCACACCACCCTCTTCATTCATTCACAACTCGCCCCTTGTATCTATCTCATCAGGCAGAACCAGAAGCCTATATAGAAAACTATATGCTCGTACTAGCAAGTACAAAAACTCAATCATACCCTCGCGTTCTGTGCGATAAAGAAATCATTAGGCGTGGAACCCTTAACTTATTAAATAGTCAGTAGAACAAGTGGATCTCGTCTTTCCAACTCATATCATTTATAGGTACAACGTTTTCTTTCTTTCTTTTCCTTTTCTCTCTCACTATTTTTCTCTGTTAAGTGCTCCTTTGTTTCTTTCTTCTGCTTACGCCAGTAAATATGCTACCATCTACTTTTCTAACACCTTCAAACATTCTGTTAACTTTTGGCTTTGTTACCGACATGCTGATATGTTGTTGTCAAGACTAACTGAGATTACCCTTAATCTATGTAGAATTTTATTTATTGTTAACGTACTAACTGGATGCAATACTGTAGTAAAATGCTGAGAATTCCATACATTATCACGAGTACTGTTATGGAATAAAGCAAATTATTATTATTATTATTATTATCATTATTATTATTATTACTATTATTATTATTATTATAAGTGGAACATAGGGCTTCAAACTAGTGGCTTGAAGTTTCGGTAGCAGTGTTATTTATATTTACAGAATGTGGTTGCTAGCCTCATACCCAACTTTCCCTCTTAACTAGTCTTATCACTGGCGTAGCGACAAAAAAGAGTGAGTCTGCGGCCGGGGCTCGAACCGTGAACCACTTGCATAGTTGGCAAGCATTCTGCCGCTGTGTCACTAATGCGCTCTTATCAGACATAAATTATTAAACTGTTAGATTAAAATCCTATGAGTATATATTTACCAATTGTTGGGTATGAAATAATTAGATATCTAGTCTTTTATATATATATATATAGCGATCTGCTACAGAACTGACGAAAAACGAAATACAAGGAAACTGAAATAAACTATAATAAGAAACTTTATGTGGTTCACTAGCCAGCTCTAGGGCAGAAAAAGAAGGTGGGTTGGAGACGTTGGGTTAGCAGCGCCTTCACTACAGAAAATCTAGAACAGATAAAGTGTTAAGTTTTTCTCTTTCTTATCTGGAATCCGGATGACTCCTCAATAAGAGGAGGAATGATACCAACAAGTGAAAACATTCTAGCGGCCAGTCGGCTGGCATATCTTCTTTCTATGAAAGTGTAACAACCTAAACAACTAGGAATGTAGTAGTAAGTGAATCAACAATGGACGACGTGGGGTGGGATTCACCCTTGTGGTAAACACTTTCTCTATAAAATCCTGATTGTTCTCATATATGTGCTTAAAGATGATTAATTTAGGGCCTAATAGAGGCGAAGAAAAAGATGCTACAATCAAGATTTTGTAAAAGAGTTCAGTTCCAAACTTCTTGAAAGGAAATAGTAGACAATTCTGTTCATAAAAAATGGGAAGAATTTCTTTTTACATGAATTAAAAGTGATTCGTAATTTATCATGAATTCATTGAAGATGGCCAGAAGACTGATTAATAAAGAAAGAATATTCTTTTTGGTAAATTCGCCATCAGGTTCTGCACTCATATGACCATAATAATTACAGAATTGTTGTTATCAACAACATTAACATCATTGTTTTAAATTAAATTAAATCAACAATATCAACATTAATATATGTGTAAAACTTTGGCACTGTTGTAGTTTGCTAGGTTTTTACGTTCAGTTAGTCTGGCTGCACCTGTTCTTCGGCTTTGATCTATGTATTGAACCTGACAATCATTGCAGCAGGGTATTAGATAAACTAAATTGCTTTGTTTTAAAGGCTGCACAGGATTGACCCTTTAACCGACAAAGCTTGTTTCTCATTGAGTTTGTAGGTAACTGAAGGTCAGCCACTTTTATTCCTGCCAACATTGTTGAGAATTCTGTGTAAGGTTTCCGAGGTTCCTCCCTTGTATGGAATTACTACTGAAAACTTAGATTCCTTATAGTTGGTGTAGTCTTGCGCATGTTTGGCATGGATGTCATAATTAATATTACTATTATTATCACTATCACTGCTATCATTATTTATTTTATTTTTACATTTCCCTACACAGTTCCTGATTAATTTATCAGGGTAATTATTAAGTTTCAAGGCTTCTCTTATACATCTCACTTCCTGTCTTAGATTTTCTTTGGTACTACTCAGTTTTTGTGCTCTGTCACTTAAACATTTTACCAATCCTATTTTCACGGACATAGATTGGGTGGGATGATGGGAAGTCCTAATATCTGTTTGAATGTGTGGGTTTCCTGTAAACACTAGTGTGTGTTTAACTTCCCATCTTCTTTCCTTTTTCCGCCGCAATCTAACATTGGAAACTCCCCTTCTTGACATTCCAATTCATAAGTGAATTGAATCGTCTCCACATTTGAGTTGATGTGTTCGAAAAATCTATCTATATCCTGTGTTCTAAGTACAGTGAATGTGTTATCAACACACCTTCACCATACTTTTGGGGTGGGTGCACTACATGCAGTTACACACAATCATACAATAGGATGGGATAGGATGATAGTTTTAAAATCTAATGTAGCAGCTGGGTAGAGGGAGAGATTGATAACGGAAGCCTTGTTTATCGAATCAACTGCAAATACATGTAATAGGGATGATTCAGCACCTGTCCCAGACAACTACTCGGAAAGTTCTGCTACCCCAACGACGACTAACAGGCAAGGACAAAGAACACTATAAAACTGAAATTTCGAAGTCGTGTGATTACAATCGATATGATTATGAACAATAAATTGTCTTGAAAACGCCATCCAGTAAACAAATACTGTTTCCCTATGTAACACATCTAATAAACAAACTTATATGGAATAGTATCAACAGGTTACATTTGAAAAGCAGCCTTAGTAAGAGAGAGAGAGAGAGATAATGTGCGTTAACATAACACTGAACTGATCGATAATCGAATAAATTAAGGCAAGTAACCCAGAATTCATGGATTTATAGGCTCGACAGCGGGACCAGGGTGGAATTAATGTCTAGATTTGTTTCTTTTTGCATACAAACCTCCGGTTGACTTAGACGAATTGAAACAGCCACTGGGGTTTAGAATGTTCGGTATCTAGAGTCCCTTGGTGATTTATCTGATACCCGATAGATGATAGAAGAAGGTCCTCCAGTGCTACGTTTATGGCCTGTTTGCGCGAAGCGGTTCAATGTAGAGCTGATGAAAGTTTTAACAACACTTTTATTTAGCCACACACTTCTAGGGTGTCTTCAAGCACGAAAACTTAGATTCATAGACCAACGGACCAGAATAACTTGCTACACAGGAGCATACTATCTCTTACCGATACTGCTTTTCAAGTGTAATCTGTCAATACTATTGATTTATTGCAATTTTAAATATTAATGTTGCTAATATCAATATTTCTGTAGTTTTTTACTGTCATATAAATATAAAACTTGATGACAAATTTATAGGAAACAATATTTGTCTTTGTTCACATTAATCAGTCTTTTAAATTATTGATTAGGCTAAAACTGAAAAAAAAAATCAACCGTTTACGTGAAGTTATGTACATGTATATACACGCATACTTGTTTAGAGTTGGCAGAAGAAGCATCCAGAGAAGATAGGACTTCAGGTGAACATAGAGAAAACAGAAGTGATGAAGATTCCTGGCCAACACCAACAGCAACAGCAACAACAACAGACAACGATCAGCCAGCATAAATGGGAGGTACCTGAAAGAAACAACCTCCTTTACCTGCTCACCTACCTGGGAAGCATCGTTTCAACTACAGGTGGATGGAACTGAAGAGGATATCACAGCAGCGAGGATCGGAAAAGCGAGACAAGGTTTCATTACTCTCAAGTCTGTGTGCAGGAGGTCAACAGCACTCCTCAGAATGAAAATGAAAATAAGATCCGGATTTTCAACTCCAATGTCAGCTCAATCGATGCTACTTACTATACGGATCAGAGACTTGGTCAGCGTGTCATAAAGAGCACCTCAAACAAACTACAGACCTTCATTAAAAACTGTCTTCGCTCAATACTTCGTTGAAGATCAGGTGGCCAGAAAATATCAGGAACAGGGACCTCTGGCAATTAGCGAACCAACCAGGAGCCGATTGTGAAACAAGTAGGCAGGAAGAAATGGAGGTGGATTGGCTGGTCATACTCTGAGGAAACGCTAGACAAGCCATCGATCGAGTGAAACCCGAAATGAAAGCGGCAAGTTCGTCGGCAGTGCAAGGGTGACTTGGAGGAGGTCATGTGAAGAGGAGATGAAAGCGTGTGGCCAGATTTGGGGCGGGGTGAAAAGTTGGCAGAGAACCGAATGCAATGGAGACTTGGGCGGCTGAAGCCCTATGTTCCTCTAGGAATTAAAGGAAATAATAATAATAATACTTGTTTAGAGTCTTTCACTCACTTTTATAGCTACTTTTGTGTCCTTGTGTGATAATTTCAAAGCTCCATTGAATACACGTAAATCTTCTTCCAGAACTAATGTTCCAGCTGGTAGTCTTTGTTGATCAGGTTCAATATATTCATTTAAACGTGAAGGATGATCAATAAAAATCAACTTTCTGGAACCCTGTTAAGGAGAGAAAAAAAGAAAAGATTTATATTTCCAATTTTTAAATTCATGATAAGTAGAGAGGGTGAGTGGAAGTTGCTATCGTACACATAAATGGAATGACTCTTCAGTCGATTGTTGAAATGACATGAAAAGTGAAACTCATATTTTCTTCACAGTTCATGCATTTTTTCCATTACAGCTTGATTCCACACCGTATTTTTGGTACAAGTATGAAATTTTCAGCATGTGATATCCGTAGCCCAAATTCTGCAAGCCGACCATAGATATCAGGTGCGCTTCGTCGGCAGGGGATCGAACCTCGGACCATGTGCATGGTCGGAGAAAGTCCTAACCACTGTGCCACCAACGCATGCATGTAAGTTAATTAGTGGAAGTTGGGATCTAACTCAGTCTAATAAATCATAGAATTCAAAATCCAGTACCGTACTAACCTTGATTAGTCTTGTCAGAGTACCAACCACGTCTATACAAGAGTATTTAGCTGTAAACATATTTATTAAACTATTTTCCTCATTGCATCCATGAATCCTCCTATGAATCTTGATCATGATTTGATTTAAAAGTTCCTCAAACATTATTCTCCTTTAATGAAAAGTAGATATTAATAAAAATTTACATTTGTAAAATCCTCAACTGTATTCGAATGAGTAATTCCAACGTTTCTTTCCAGTATAATGGTGTCTGAACTTCAGCGGAATGACAAACATCAAAATTTTAAAAGGTGTACATTAATAGGAGATTAAATTTATTTTTTATTTTTTTTTTTATTTTTGATTACAGCTTGATTCCACACTGTATTTTTAGTACAAGTATGGAATTTTCAGCGTGGATATCGGTAGCCCAAAATTCGCAGGCCAACCATAGATATCAGGTGTGCGTCGGCGTGGGCTCGAACCCCGGACCATGTGCATGGTCGGCGAGAGTCCTGACCACTGTGATAAATAGATATTAGTTCTTTCTTATGACTCTAGCAACCAACCAACAAGCAAGAGGCCGATCATTCAACAAACATGTGGGAGAAAGTGGAGATAGACCAGGCAGACATTGAGGAGGTCATCGAATGACATCGAGCTCCAGACAGGCCACTGCCCAAAAAGAATCTAAAAATTGGAAGTGACGAGTGGGTTGTCAGTGTGGGGATGATATGGAGGAGGTCGTATGAGGAAGAAGAGATGAGAGATTTCGGACAATCGTGGATCCAGCTGGTTAGAACAACCGAAAATAAAAGAAAGTCGAGATGTATTGTTGAAACCATATGTCCCACTCGGAACCAAAGAGAATAATAATAATATTTAATTGAATTTTAGATTTCCCGTCGATTGATTAAACCGAAATGCTCGTTCTCAGGTCGACATATCGGCTCCTTGTGCATATGCTTCGACGATGTCTGCGCATGTAATTAGAATTTAATTGGTGGATGGTGACTGACTAGCAGTGGGATCCAGGATAAGGCGCATTTCGTCCTATTTGGGACTCGTGGTCAGCTGGATGTACCTGCATTCCCCAGTGAGTGATGATGTTCCCACCAAGGCTCGAACCCAGTGCCTATAGTTCCAAACGCAAAAGCATTATCCACTAGACCACTGCTAGTCACCATCCACCAATTAAATAATAATAATAGTTCTTATACATGAGGGAATCTAAAAGGTTCCAATAGAAAAGACGGTATAACGTAAGCTGATTCCTGCAAGTCTATGTTATTAATATCCACAGCCGACTGTAGCAATTTGCTGTTTGTTTTCGTTGAGATCATGTGTTGTTTATCATTGACGTGTTTAAGTGATATTTTATCCGATATATAAAAATATTTTACAGACGTAACCCATATTGATGTCGTTTTACTTCAAAACACAGACAGAAATGAGATATGCTTTTTCGCCTAGAGATTTTATTTTATCTGACTTCACAATAATCTTTGTTTTGACACGAAGTGTACTACATCCGCCCACATATAATATTTACAATATTATCTTGAAAACTACTCAGGTATGTACAAATTATTTGACATGGTCAAATGAGACAGTGAAATAAATTATGTGAATTACTTTTTTTGAGGTTTTAACACATACAATTATTTTATATAATTACAAAAATAAACATGATTCAGACACCCTTGTTAACTGGAGACGTGTTATTACAATTGTAAAAGAAAAAGACGTAAACGGCGAAGGGAAATTTCTTTTCGGCGATTCATTTTCATAAGCTGCTGTACAATCATCTGACAAGAAACGCCAACAGCTCTCTGAAAAGGTCCATATACAAAAAGGCCTACATGGAATGGACACTTCATCAATTTTCAAAGCTTCGTGCCCCTGAGCAGAAACAGCAACCTGATATACGCTCTTTCCTCGAGGATTTGGAAGATATGCAGCGAGGAAGTGGTTGAAGAAGAACTTTGTAATCTTCGAAAAACCCTGATGGAAAACGGTTTCTCGCCAAGGTTCATAGACAAAAATCTCAAATCTAAGAAGACTTCCGAACAAGTTCAATCCGTCCTAAAGAAAATACTTCTGCTTAATCTAGAATTCAAAGGTGATATTGAAGCAGAAATCCTTCGCAAACGCCTCTCAAAATCTCTGAGGAAAACATACTTCGCCAAGAGCCTACGACTGACGTTTTCCTGCAAGAAACTGTTCAGGGAGAACGCAAAAGACAAGCTGTCGCATTAGGCCACTTCAACGTGCATATACCAGTTTACTTGATCTTGTGGAGCTGAGTACGTTGGCCGTACCATGCGCCGACTTGAAAAACGCACTCGTGAACACTACCCACCCTGGTTAGTAAAAGGAGACCAAAAACGTGTATACCGTTCAGTGACAGAACATCTGGTCAATTCACGACATTCAGCACCTTTCGAAAAATCCTTCAAAGTAATATATAAGATTCAATCAAACCTATCAAAGGGAGTGAAATCAAGACATCTGGGCATAGCCGAGGCGCTAGCGATACAAAAGCTCAAACCAACGCTTTGTATCCAAAAGAAATACGTCCAAACCCTGTCCCTGATATGGCCATCATAAACAGGTAATTTCTTAGTAATGACCATCCTATCGTCTTTCTTATCTAAACTTCCTGTTTATTCGTGTTATTTCAAGTTTTTTTTAATCCCTGTTTACACTACCATATTTTCATACCCTAACTTCGTGTCTATTTTGTCATTTTACTATTTCTACATATTTAATCCCTGATTGCATAAACAATTATTCATCACATTAGTTTTTTTATTCAAATATCCTGTCCAATTTGTTATTTCTACATTTCTAACCTCTAATTGCGCAAAATGTCAATCTTCTCAGTAATTATGATGCTACTTTGTTTGAGTTTTATCCGTCCCCCTGTTTATTATGGCATTCTAATTCCTAATTTTAATTTTTATTAATTTGACCCTTGACCGGATATTATTCTGGAACTTTCCCATCCATTTGATATAAATACACGAATGTACAGCCTGGATGATGCTGACTTCGTCGAAAAGAAAATTTTCTTCGCTGCAACTGTCTTCTTAATCGTAATTATATTTAACAAAAATCAAAATCATAAGGCCGATCAAATGCTGGTAAGATTTGTCCTCGAAGGACGTATTACGTAATGTAAGGTGTAATCTAGATGGGGTGACTAATTGGCATTAAGAAAAGAGGCATAGGTTAGCATGACATAATAAGTGTGAGAAAATGACTTATCACTACGATTGCGTAGAAGGGAAAGGAACTGGTGGAAAGACGATAAAAGAAGAGGTCCAATCAGTCAAGTGTGAGGGGATGGATTTCCCACTGGTGATGATGATGATGACATTGGTTGGTGGTCGCGCCAAATCACGAATTTGTAAAAGTTAGAATTCATGGGCTGGTCATTGAATCGGGTTCCAGTGGCTGAATGGTATACGAACTAGCTTGCCTTCTGACTTGTGAAGGTCCTAGGTTCGAACTCCCTGTGGTGGGTGCGAACTGACGATGATTCCCAAACTAGGCTGATGAAACAGCTGTCTGTCCAGTACTCCAGTGCTGGATTTTAATGGTTCTCTAACTGATATCAATCCGTGGTCAAGCTCGTAAAAAGCAAATCTAATCCTTACAAACCAATTCTTGAAAATTAAAGTGATTTTATAAAATCTGTTTGAAAACACAATGTTATTAATTTTGATGTGGTTTTGTTCTCTGAGCTGGATGGTTAGTTTGCGTAGCTTTCATCACCCTACTGGGTGACATCTTCAGCGCATAATTCAATTCAAATTGAAGTGAGCTTTCAGATTTCTCCACGAGTTTATTAATCATCTCTCCTGGTGACCTTGGACGTCATTGATTGTTGTTTTTGTGTGTTTTCACACCTTCTAGGTTACTTGTGGTATTGAAGCTGATTGTTTCTTTGACTTGAACTTTGGCCCTTTGTGTGTGAAGTTTCTTTCTTATTGGTTGATAAATTTTGTCTATCTCGATGTGTCTATTGATTGACGATTCACTGGAATACCAGAAAGCCTTCTGAAAAATTCTCTAGCATTCTTGTTATTTCCTTTGTCTAATATTTGAACGTTGGTTTTGTTGTCCTAGTCTAATTGATGTCCGTGGTTATCTGTTTGTAGTGATATGAGGGAGTGGATGTCATCATGCCTTTTCACGGTTAGCTTATTTTCGTGGATACGAAGACGAAGAGGAGGGTAGTCCACTTTGGCCAATGTAGTGTTTTTCGCAGTTGTTACAATTTATTTGGTAGATGATGTTGGTTTTATCTTCTTTCGCTGTTGAATCTTTTGGTTGACATAGAACTGAGTGAAGTGACTTTGTTGGCTTGTGTACGACGTCAATTCCTATAGGTTTGAAGAGTCTTGTAGTGATTTCTGAGATATCCTTTATATATGGCAAGGCGATTTTCTTTGTGCTTTCCTTGTTGGCTTTTGCTTTGGTAGGTTGACTTGCGGGTATATTTCTCTTGATGAAATTCCGTGGATATCCATTTTTTTGAAGACATCCATGTGATACTTTTCTTCAATTTTCCTTAAGGTGGGAGTGCTGCAATGAGTCCTTGCACATCAAAATCATCCACCTGAGCTACAAATCTTCTCTATCATATCTAAACGTTATTAATAAACAGTAATATAGTGATAATGAAATATATATGGTGAGAATAGTAACAATAATAACAATAATAATAGTAAACTTACATAATAAAAATAAGCAAAATTATAGTAAGAACGTTACTCTAGCCACAGTAGAGCGAGTGAATGTATGCAGTGCTTTTGAATTCAGAGATCCCGTTTGAGATCCTGACTAGCAAATGATTCAGCTATGTGTACGGATGGCGTAATCGAAGTCCCCTTACATGATATTGAGGGACTTTGTGTAGCACTGTGAAGCATTCATGCAAGCGGGGGTGCTCGATGTCCGCAGTTGACAAAAAGTGTTCGAAGATGGAGCTGCTGCTGCTACTACTGTTCGTTTTCTTCGCTGTTTGCATTTTTCCCCTTATAACTCAAAATGGGAATATTTTGTTCACAAGTGTAAAAAGTTAAATGCATCAAATACTTTTCACATTGGATAATATAAATTTTGTTAATAATTATATTTATAATTTAATAATTATTTTACTAGGTATGTTCGTCATCTAGAATGTGTGCATTCTCTTCAAATTAAGATAAAAGTGTGTCAGCTGGTACAGAAAATGATGGCTAGACGTGAAGATTTAGCATTTAGACAGGTATGTGTTAAATATGTTTACTATCTTTTTTTGGTTTACATAATTCCTTGTTGTTGTTGTTATTATTATATAAAAGTGATTTCTGCCTAACTCACATTTTGTATTTTGCTGAACCACACATACTATTCTTTTCTGTTTAAATTTCGATGGTTTTGTTTTCTCCAGTGGGTGGGTGAGTGGGTATTCACTGATATGGAGAGTTCAACCTGTATACGTGATACATGATTCAAAATGTTCTACCCTCTCTTATCGATAAACCAACATTTTGTATAAAATTTACATTCAAATGTTGGTTTCAGGGATTTGAATATCAATCTGATGCTCGCTAGCGACTGGCCCTATTCAAGTACGGGGTTACCTGAATTCTAGTGGGAAATCGCGACCATTGAGGTAAAGCAGGTCGTGTGTGAAGACAGATACTCTCCGATGACATTCTCTAGTGGTCGCGCCATACGCGAATTGGTAGAAGTTGGAATTCATGACCTTCTAACGACAGAAGACAAGGGCCAGGCAACAAGTTGTTTATTAAGGAAAAAAACACTTATTTATACATTTTCATGTATATTATTATGGCTTATTCAAGCAAACAAACACACTTTGGTGATTGGTTGTTTCTCACAGAAAGTTAACCTTGCATCTCTTTGTGACTGTTTCTTGAATGTCAGATCATCTATATATTAACTGTATCTGCCTACGCAAAGTGTGCTGTGGTTGGTTGTTGAACCGGTCTTGTTCATATTTTCTCACGACCAATATTGGGGACATAAACATTGACGTAAATTAATGTCTACCAATTTGGCTAGCAGTCTGCTCTCACCACACCTAATCAATGGATTGGATCCCAGTGGCTTAGTGATCTACGAGCTCACCTTTTAGCCAAAAGGTCCTGGGTTCTCTAACCCTAGAGGTGGGCGCGTACCGCTGAAGAGTCCCAAACTAGGCTGACGAAACAGCCGTCCAGTATTCCCAGTTGGTTTTCTAATGATCCTATAACCTATAAAATTTTAAATTAATAATGGTAGTTCAATTTGATAAGACAGATATTCATAAGTAACCAGAGGATGACACCTAATAAGCTGACATCATTGTACTTATATTAATTCACTTATTATTCATATTATTATTATTACACATGTATTAATTCAACTCTTTAAGTCAAATAAGCTGGATGCGTGTACAGTATATCCCTAGCAACGACGCTAACTGTAGCGTTGCTTTGTTCACGTAATGACATAAATAATATATTATTTAGACATCTTACACTAAATTATCAATTTTACAAAAAAATTATGAGTTATTTATTTGAATAGCTACAGAGTTCTTGCTAGTTTGTGTATGTGTATGCGTGTATTTGTGTGTGACAGTTATTGTCACATCATAGTGATATCTAGGCCTCAGGCTTCAAAGATCAACCTATGAAATCGCATTTCCATAATTTTATGCTACCATATACGCGGCTGCTATACTGCATCAGAATGGCTTCGGTGTTACTTACATCCAAGTAGTGTTCGGTCAACTTGGGATATTTAGGAGTGTCCTTTATCATTACTAAGTAAACTTGAACACAATCATTCACACACGAGGGAACTGGTTCAATGGTCAGCTCATGTAATGCGACTTCTACCAAATTCATGATTTTACCGCTACCACCAGCCAATATCATCGGCTTGGTTGACCCCAATGATCGTGACTTCTTACTAGAACTCCAAGCAACTTCGTCTTCTATCCAGTCATCACTAGCCACGATCAGATTAGCTTTCAAGTCAAACTTGAAAAAAATGAAATCTCTACAAACTAACTCTTCAGGAAGTGTGAATCAGTTTATAAAAAGGCAAAGTTTTGATTTTGTAACACTTTCTTCAAGTTATAGATATACAATCACGAACTGACATCAGCTAGAAAATTACTGAAATTCAATGAATTCTGGATACTTCATCAATCCTAGTTTAGGATATCTCAGTAGTACCCACCTGTGATCCCATCGTGGATCGTAAACAAAACCTTTAGGTTATAAGACAACTAACTTATTCAGTCACTGGGATTAAATCCAATAGTAAATGAGTTATACCTGGGGAGATAGAGAGAGAGAAACAGAAAGGGATACTCTGTAGTTTTCAATGGTTACATGACCGATTTCACTTCGTGATGAAATCTAACATGAGTCCTATCAGATTTCTACAAACCAATATTTGTTACTTTTTACTATGACACTAAGCAGTACAGGATTTAAATTTAATGGGATTTTTGTATAAAACAAAAAATAAGAGGGCCAAAAGCAAAATAAAAATAATTGTGAAACTAATAATGGATAACATAAATAAGAGAGAATATAAGTCATCCACTGTTATACCATATAAGGAGTGGACATCTGACACCCTCTCTACTTAGGATTCTTAATAAAGCAGGAATTAAGGTGGCATTCAAACCTACAAACTCACTCAGAGACAAGCTATGTAGGCTAAAGGACCCTACCGGTTGACCCAGTTAGACAAAATAATATAATTTACAAAATACCCTGCAATGACTGTGAATTAAGTCAACTACATCTCCCATAATGGTGGTTTGGCAAAGGACAGACAAAAACAATCCCCAGCTCAATTTTGTTACATTTAATTGATAGTGGTCATGTAGTGGAGAAAACAAAGGCAACCATGGTGATTCGTCGTATCCCACGGAATCTTTCCAAAAGAATTCGTATTCGTCTACTGCACACAGACGAGGCGATAAGCATTCAAACTATTAAACCTAAACTGTGCATTCAAAAGAAGTTCGTACAGTCATTATTCCTCCCTTATTGGCCTATTAAGACATAACCAACTGATGACTTCTACACCACTCCTTGTTTATATTTTCAACCTCTCTCTTATCATCTCTTAATGTTATCACATGTTCATTAAAAACGTGTGTCATTTACTTCCCTTATATTCTAACATTACTTAATCGGTTCATTTGTCCTTACTAGCCTTTATTGACCACCACTTTCACCTGAACAATTGTTTGTTTATTCATGGCGTTTTCCATTATTCGTGTTATCACAGATTGCCTCACTTTTTCATCCTTATTATTGATAAAACCATTAGCATTATTATCATTACAACTATTATGACTAATATTTAATTGATTGATGGTGACTAGCAGTGGAATCCAGGATAAGGCGCATTTCGTCCTGTCTGGGACTCGTCACCTGGATGCACCTGCATTCCCCAGTGATTGATGATGTTCCCACTGAGACTCGAACCTAGTGTCCACAGTTTTAAAAGCCAAAGCATTATCACTCACTGAGAAATGCAGGTACATTCAGCTTGACCACGAATCCCAAATATGACGAAATGCGCTTTATCCTGGATTCCAATGCTAGTCACCATCCATCAGTTAAATACTAACTAATTAAATGCCCAGACATCGTCGAAGCATCTGCACAAGAAGCCAACATGTCAACCTGAGACCGAGAAGCACTCCAGTCTAATCAATCGACGGGAAAAATCTAAAATTCAATTATATTATTACTAATTGCACAATTTATATTCACCATCTTATCATCATATAGGCAAGTCACCATGATTGGTTTATATTTGAATTATTTTGTAAAGTTATGTTATACTAGAGTTAAGCTTGATGAGATCTAATTGAACACAACAATATCACTGTTCGCTTAAATGTGTGTTGTTGTAAATTTTACTATGGGAATATTTAATATGTGAAAAATAAGCAGAGAAATAAACTATAGTATTTGTATTTAAATGTTGGTTTGTAGGGATTTGGTTGGTTTCAGGATTTCATCATGAGCTGACATTAGTTAGAGAACCATTGGAAAACCTGGGAGTACTGGACAGCTGTTTCGTCACACTAGTTTGGGACTCTTCATCAGTACGCACCCACCGAGATTCGAACCCAGGACCTTTCGGTTACAAGGCGAGCTCGTATACCATTAAGCCACTGGGACCCGATCCAGTGGCCAGTTCATGAATTCTAACTTCTGCCAATTCACGACATAGCGCGACCGCTAGCCAATGTCTTTGCTGGCGAGTATTTGTCCTCACACCCGACCCGCTGCACCCTACTGTATAGTATTTGTGTTAACAAGTTGACCTGACCTACTTTCAAACAGCAGTAGTAAAATATACACATTGCCTTACACGATACAAGTAGCCATACAAAATAGCCTAATCACCCAAAAATAGTGTCAAACTGTCTTTGGGACATAAACATTAATTGCGAGGGTTAATTACGTTCACAGGGGATAATAACAGGAAGTCATCAGAAGGAGAAAAAAGAGGATTGGTAACAAGCATACATAATGGCATTATTTTTTCACCTTCATATAATGAATAAGATCCAAAAAGAAGGCACAATATTATGACCTTAGAAGCGTTGAATACACTTCATTCATGTTCTATACAAATAATATTTTTTTTAAGATGTTTAGAGATTAAGGTAACTTTAACTTTCAAAAAAAAAAGTTTATATCTTCTTGAAGAATAAAAAGGGCAGAATGTCAATGAATTCTTAAACTCTTATACTGGCGGAATGGATGAAGATGCCAAAGTTGGCAGAGATCAGAAAGGCAAATTACACCTTCATCAACACCTGAAACCAGTTTGGAAATCTTCTACACTCCTTTTTTAGCATAAGGAACAAGATTCGGATTCTTTTCAACGGGTCAGAAACTTGTCCAGCATGTCACGAAAAGGATTTCCAACAGTCTGCTGCAGACTTTTGTCTACAGCTGCCTTCGCTGGCCTCCATACTGAAGATCAATCAAGTGACCAGAAAGAATAAGTAACAAGAAATTCTGGCTAGGAATAAATCAACCAAGAGCCGACCATTCAACAAAAATATGTAGGAGAAAATGGAGATGGATTGATCAGGCATACCTTGAGGAGACTGTCAAATGACATTGCGCTTAATGCAGGCCATTGATCAAGTGGAATATAGCAATTTAAAGCGATGAGTTGGTTGGTGGAAGTGTGAGGGTGATGCGGAAGAGATCGTGTGTGAGGAGGAGATGAGGGATTTTGGGCAATCGTGTGTGGCTAGCCCAGCTGAAGAGGATGACAGAAAACAGAAGAAAGTGTGCTGATACTTGTCATCCAGGTGACCAGAATGGTTTACTGAGTCTGCCGTTTACACTTTTGATAATCCATATCTATTCCATCTACTCTCGCAGATACTCAGCACTTCTAAGGCATATCTTGACATCTCTTTGGCTACCTGGGTAGCCTACCCAGTCTTGTACATTGTACGGACATTCCACGTATCTATTCTTACTCTTGCTTTCATCGAGAGAAGACTGCCTTCACGAAGGCGGGGTTTCACCATCCCGCTGTGTCATTCGAGCCAAGAATAAGCTTGTTGTTATTTGAAGTTTTTATATTTTTAATATATTTTCTGTGCGTTGAAGTTTCTGCAGCGGTTTGATGGGTTTAGTGGTGTGGAGTCGCTAGCCCCACGTCCAAACCTTCCTCTTTACGGGGGCTTGGGACCGGCTAGAAAATTAGCAAGCTAGTTAACTAGGTGAGGTTATCTCGGTAAATATATAGAGCACAGAAAATAATAATAGTAATATTGCCGTTAAGTTGAAAAAGCTTATTTTGTAAAATTCAACATAAATTATAAGTGAATGTTTATCATGTGTGTACTATCTCAGTGAAGTAATTGTTTTATATTTTTTAAAGGGAATTTTTATATAGACAGACAAACGTTGTTGCTATAGGTTCCCTAGTTTCCCCAAAAAAAGGTGATGGTCTTTTCATGTATACATTTGAAGATAACATCTTTTCAAGCATACCCAGGCTTGAAATATGCCTTACATACTTTGACGATACTTTTGTTGCTCTAAAACGACATCTACACAATTTATTCTAGGAGAAACTGAACAATCTACCTCCCAGCATCCAGTTTACTTCGGAAGCAGAATTAAACTTTGGTGAACTACAATTTCCAAACTGCCTTGTTCTGAGGAAAGAAAACAGATATTTTTGACATATCTATATTCAGGAAAAGAACTCATCCCAATAAATATTTAGACTTCAGAACATCATACCTTATCAGCACAAAGATATCAGTGTTGTTTCCAGTCTCCTTAGACGAGCACACCTCTTTGATGTTAATGGATGAGAAACAAAGAAGAAGTATCAAATATTACTGAAATTCTCAAGAAAAATAACCACACAAAGAACTTCATCAACAAAATCAACACCGACACCAAATATGGTCGAAAACGTATTCTGACGACACGGACCTCAGAAGTTGTCATACCATATAGATCAGAAAAATTCCATGTAAAAGACCAAATCCCTAAGAATTCTCAATCTAATTGTGTCTACAAAATAAAATACTTGGAATGCGATGCGATATACATCGGAAAAACCTCGCCAGAAAGAAACCAAGATCAGGAGAAATGAACACCGAGAAATCTAGTTGAACTAGAAAATCCTGAAAAATTACCAGCCATAGGTAGTCTACACGCTAAAGAAACAGATCACAAAATTGATTTCGACAATATTACAACCATCGAGGTAAATTTCAGAAATCACAAAGAAGAACATCTCATATCAACAGAAGGCCTTCATACTAAATGGAGTTCAAAATTGTGTCTGAATAGGAATGATGGACTAAGATCGGATTTGACTTAATTCTAGCAACCTTATTTGGTGGGGTCCACCAAGTTTGGTGTTTGGATGGATACTCACCGATGATACCTGGCCGGGTATCACGTTATACATCGTGAAATGGCTGAACTGATGGGTCACTGTATATCCCATCCCATTGGCTGAATAGCATACGAGCTCTCTTTATAACCTTGTGGTAGTGTGATACAGACAATGTGTTCCAATGGAATATTATTTCTCACAGTTCAATACTGCATTAGCAACAGAATGCTTTAAATATTTGAACATTCTCTTCCATAATGGATTTGCGCAACACATTTCGAACAATCTGATCACATACATTATGTCCCCTTAACTTGACCTAAGTCTATGTATCTGTTATGTTGCTGCTGCTGAGTGGTTAATAGTAGTTTTCCCCGTCGCCAAATTGTTATGTACTCGTCGCTAAATTATTGTTATGGACTGGTCGAGAAACTAATAGTCCTGACGCAAGAAGGCGGAAATCAGAAGACCACTAGGTTTGCAATGACACTTCTATATTCCCAACACAAGGAGACGCAATAAGTGGTATCACACCAAAGAAAGTAAGTGTCACAAGATTGTGAGAACGAAATATATATATATATATAGCAAAATATAGCAGACATGTCAACAACCACTATATATGGATATATGTCACCAAGCAACGGACTGTCAACAAACACTCATATTATATATAATATAATATAAGGAGAATATACATTGATAAAGGAGACAAGTTCATACAAGTGAAATGGTCACAGACTAAGCGAGCAAACAGAAAGAGAGACCAACATACACACACATAAATATATATATATGGATACATATCAGTTTCTCACCTCCTACCTCTGTATTAATTCTCTTCCATGTCGTTTAGTGCAAACCAAAATCACACATTTCAGTGATTTGGGTTAAAGAATATAAAACTGTGTAGATATAAATAGCTGTTTGATCACTTGAAAATATACCTTGACTTCCGTGTCTTGGCTTCTGCTGTTATAACCTGAAGGTTCTGAGCTATATATACCCCTGGTGACAACATGGGTTTTTTTTACTGATGAGAGGAGTCGCAAAAAAGGACGAAACAGCTGTCCAATACTCCCTAGTTTTTCAGTTGTTAATCGAAAAGATACTTCAAATCCATCAAATCCCTACAAATAAACACTTGAAATAATAATGATTTATGTACAAAACATAGCCTTATAAAAATGATTTATTATCATGTTTATGTTTCCATTAACGTGTTTTCATCCCTGAAAACGTTTCTTTGATTTCTCAAATTTAATTAGACATATTTACGGTAGTAAATATATAACAAAGTCTTTCAATTATTATTATTATTATGAATGAGAGAAAAAGTGAAACTGCTTTCTCTTGTTCTTGTTGTTGTTGTTGTGTGCATATCCTGTGTAAGGGAAAAGAAAAAAAAACAAAACAACTAGATCTTTTATAAACACTACTTAAATAACATTATCTCCTACAAATTTGTTTAACTACTTTCCTGTTTTATGTATTTGTTTTTTTTTTCTTTTTGATTTCTAGGAAATGAGATTTCGAAATAAACTAGTAGATTATCTCTGTGATTGGATTATGGGGAGTAGTTATCATTTGAATCTTTCAGTGCAGACAAACTATTCAACTGGTAATTCATCTGGTGGTAGTAGTAATATAACAATGACAACCGCCTCATCGGCTACAGCAAGTAATCTGTCTAACCTAACTAACCCGGGTACAATTACTTCAACTACCAGTTGTCTTACATCAGATTTAGGTGAAAGCATTCCTCTATCGAATATACCATTGTTAAATTCACCAATGATAAATCAGTCTGGTTCAAGTCTACCAATGAATCAAAGTCAGAGCAGTCTTAGTGCTATGATGGTGGGTGGTTATACGCCACTAATAACGCCGCATCCGAATATGATGTCCAACACCGGGATTTATGGAGTTATCACAAATTCTAGTAGTAGTTATCAAGGCAATCCACCTAATTCATTCAGTGCTCCTCATGCTAGCTCATTTACGCCGGTGAATTGTGGATTGCCAAATACTGTATCAGCAGTCAACGCTTCAAACAGATTCGATTTCCCGTATCCAAATTCTTCATGGGATAGTTCTACACCGAATTTAGGCGTTGGTATCGGATTGATTGCACATGGTCAATTCGCCAACAGTCCATTCTCACCTTATTATAATGCTACAGAATTGACTCATTTGATGAATAATATCCCACAAGGGAATGTTTTGGTGAATAATCGGTCAGTGACTGATGGATTAAATATTATGGGACAGAATCATCCATCAAGCCTAGTAGGTAACAAATCCCCTGGCAATTATGCCTCATGTGCGAATTCTTCCTGTACACCATCGAATATCCTACCATTCAATTCAGCTGGAGTTCAAAGTAATATATCGAAGAATGCTAGTAGTACACAGTCACCGAGTGGAACATACTCCACACCATCTTATACGAGCAGTTTTACTTCAGGAGTGGGCAGTGGAACCTGTGGTGCGTATCCATACACAAATACCAGTTCAAATTATACCTCAACAATTGCCAGTTCAGGAGTTTCAGCTATAAACACTGGAACATGTTTCACTAATATGCCAAGTGTATCTACAACAGCTGGTATAGTAGCACAAACTGCTGCTCAAACAAGAGAGTTGGATTTAGCCTGTATGGAGGCTGTAGCTGCACTGTTACATGGTATGCCACTACAACCAGAAGAAATTGATCGTGCTGATTTGATGGATGCTAAATCTCATTTGTTTGCAAAGTAAGCTGCTTTTATAATATTATTTGAAAGTTGACAAGTATTCTGCTCATTTAGACCGTGATTTGCAAAATATAACATCTCAGTCGGACTAAATGTGTCTCCAAGTCCTCTCATACAGTTAGTTAGACTTCACTGTTTGAATACTTCAACTTTATGAAGTAAATCACTTTAGATACATCGCCTCAATATCCAAAATTAAAGCTGTGAAATGGTCATTTACCATGTGTTTGAATTAGCTGAATCCTGTTTTATTTACTTTCGTAAAGTTAACTGCTTGACATTTGGAAGGATTTAACATAAGACCACTTGACCTAGACCACTTGCTGATGTCCAACAGAAGGTTATTAAGTTTTGAGCAGTCAAACTCAGAAGTGATAGGCAGTGATACAGTCAGATCATCTGCATATTTGACAAAGTTAGTTTCGTTTAGATGGAGCAGGTCCTGTAGGAAGAAAGAAAAAAGAAAAAGAGAGAGGACGGTACCTTGAGGAACACCGGCTTTTGTAAGCGAGGCAAAAGAAGATTTGCCATTATATATATATAGTATACTGCATTCTACCAGAAAAATAAGAATGCAGTAAACTCTTAGCCCAGGATCCGGTACGCGTCAACGAAAGCTTATTTAATAAAAGGTTTCTAGGTAAAGAGTCAAAAGCAGATGTATAGTCTAGGAAAGCACCATGAACATAATTCCATTATGGGTAAATTTTGTTTTGATAAAGTCTCACAGCGTTATACAGTAATGTTTATTGATGACGTTTCGAGCACAATTTATTGCTCATAATCATATCAATTATACACCATGAACATATTTGGCACCTTTGTCTAAACAAGAAACAACATTATGATATAAGACAACCGCAGCATCCAAGGTACATCTACCATGTTTGTATGCAAATTGTTTAGGATCATTAAAAGGTGTCAATGAAGGTTCAAGACGAAGTAAAAGTAATTTTTCCATCAATTTAAAAAAAAGAGAAGTAATTGCAATAGGCCTAAATTTAATGTCAGTACCAGAAGACAGTTTTGCTATGGGGATAATTTTAATGTTTTTCCATTCAAAAGGTAGAACATTGCTGGAAAAAGAGGCATTAAAAATGTTAGTAAGAGGGTAACACAAAATATCAACACAGTTCCTGAGAACAATTGCAGGTACACCATCAGGACCAAGGCTTTGGGAAGGCTTAAGAGACCGGAGACATTTAAGCACATCAAGGGTATTAAAACCATTAAAATTGTTTCTGTCTATATGATTTGTAACATTAGGCAGGATATGGACAGAAGAGCGTATGAAAGACTTATTTAGTAGAGTGTTAACATTAAGAGATGGGAGAAAAGTACATCGCTTACCGCTAGTAATTTCTTTGAAAAGTTTCCACAAACTAGAAGGGGTTTTACACGACAAGAATCTTTGTTTATATATATATATATATATATTAAAACAATTAATCCCTTTGATAAATTTGATTAAGGCATTTAGAAGACAAATTTCGCGAGATAATGGCATCATTTCGTAGTTTCTTTACAACCACTTTACAACTAACATGGTTAACAATAATTAAATAAAATAAGGCTCATGACAGTTATCAGTTAAATAAAAAACAAAAGTACATACTAATGACCAGTCATATTTAGATAGGTCATGTAGTCCATGATAGGCGAAGATTGAAGTCTATTGTGTTGTTTTTGTACACACAGTTTAGGCTGTATGTGATTAATCCCCCAAAGGTGCTTCCATCACCTTCAATAACCAACCTTGAATTAGAGTTAAGTGGTGAAATAATTGTGAAATAGTCATTAATGATGATTTTGTGACCAGACATTAATAAGTGTTTTGCAATGGATGATGATGGATTTCTATTCAGATCACTAATTGCATTGGGATTTTCTATATAATTTAGTAGCCATTTTGGAACATGTTCTTTTCGACGACCACATTGGAACATTCTGTTGGTTCTACCTATATAGGTGTGTGCCACCGTAGGTGCTGGTGAACTTGTAGATACAATTTGAAGTATAGTCCACAGAATTTCGTCCTTTAATCGTAGGTAGGTACAGGGGTCAAAAATGTTTGGGGAAGTGAGAAAAAGAGGTGTGGCAGCGTAGAATGAACGTTTGATGGCCGACCGAAGTTTTTGAGCTAGCTGTCAACTGCATAGTCTGGTCGCCCTTGAATGGTAGATTGATAAAGATAGCTTTCTTTGGTACAGAAGCTGTCTTTTCAAGATGTGGTCTATCCTTACCGTGACAACTGATGAAGTTTTCTGCATAACCATTAGCTAATATCATCTCGCGAAATTTGTCTTCTTAATGCCTTATTCATATATATATGTAGCATGATAGTTATGTTGATTTCACTTCTCAATTCACAAATTAAATTCGTGATTTACAATTTTACAGTTTACACACTTTTAACACAGATGTTAAGTTAATCAGTGTTTATATAGGGGCTAAAAACGGCGCGTCATGGGAAGCAGTTCCATTTTTTTCCATAATGGAATCACACTGCCCAAGTTTTATCCTTATATCAGGTTGTTACCGACTTTTATCAACAACTGCCTTCATTGGCTCCATATTGAAGATCAGATGGCCGGTCAGAAAGAATTAGCAACAAGAAACTATGCGAACAAATTAATCAAAACTCATTGTTCAAGAGATATACTGAAAAAAAGCAGATTAATCGGGGACAAACTGTGAGGAAACCTACGAATGTTGTCGAAGTCATATTTTCCACTTTGGAACCCAAGGGAACAATAAAAAAAAAGAAAATAATAAGTTTGCATAATTCAAGGTGAAATCTCTCCAGAGTTTCCCCTTCGGAAATCAAAATTATTCGCATTTACTTGATAGCATAAATGGCAATCAAGAAAGCAAACATAATCTCATGATACCGTAACGACAGAAGACAAGGAAGGGTCAGGCAACAGATCGTTTATTGAGAAAATCAACAGATATTTATAGACTTTTGTGTACATTATTATTCGTTATTAACTAGCAGGGGAGCAACATTTTCTGATTGGTTGTTTTCTCGCTCAAGGTTATTCTGTCATCTCTTTGAAGGTTAGACCATATATATATGTCTGCTAATCGTATCCGCCCATGCAAAGTCTTTGTTCTTGTTTTTTTCTCATGACCAAGATCTGGGATGTGAACATTGACGTAAATTAATGTCTGCCAATTTTGGCTAGCAGACAGCTCTCACCACAACACAATATACTACTACTAAGTGATTGAGATGCATACGGGCCCCTTCGATAAGATCTAAACTCCAGTCTGCTGTGTTCGCTCGTTTAGAGCAGCAGCAACTGGTCTGATTCAGCTCAGAAAGTCAAATAAGCTGACACCACCTTACCAGAACTAATATGAAGCAGCTGTTCGGCGTTTAGATCACTCAGATCTCGCTAGTAAGTACTAGTAACCACTGTGAGATTAATCCAACTACTTGCGCGAATCAATGAGTAATATGGCATTACTTATGGTAAGAATGCGTCTGGGATAGATTTTGTCATTCAAGCTTATGTTTCTCCCTGAATGGTTTCTAAAATGTAATAATAAAGACTACAGAATTCTAATAGTACTTACATGACATTTCAAATAACTTTTGAATTTATCACTAGTAAATAGGATCGACTTTGATCACCTAGGATTAATTCAAAATATTTCAAATCCCATAAACGCCAATTGTACAACTGTGTTGATAACATCTATTTAACGAAAATATTCATTCAGACATCTATAAAACACAAAATAATTGAGCAAAGAATATCCTTTTCGATAATTTATATACAGAGAATATTCTAGAATAGTAGTCATTAACAATATTAGTGTCTTTTAAATAATATCGATTTGTCAAGTAATATCACAATGGAATTACCACAGTTCATTAGAGATGCTTAAATTATAATAATAATAATAAAGATATAGTAGCGAATAGAATATCAACTAAAATTAGGGAAATTTCCACAAAAATTGAGCATCATTCAAACCTAGACGGCCTAGGTAAGGAAAATGTCTGAACTAACTTCTTTTGGACGCACAAATTAGGCTTCTTAATGTGGATCCCAACAGCCAGCCAGCCTCAGCAATATTTAGGAAACGAACTCTTAAGGCGAAATTGAGCTTTGTCGAGATCCGGCAAATGACTTTGAAAAAGACCTGGCTAACATTAATCTTCTCGTGATATGGTGTAATGACAGTTAAATCCATAATGGTAACTTACTGTTTGTTATACACTAATTAACACTTGTTTTGATAACTTTGTTAACTGTTCAGTGACATATATATATCATCATACATCAAAAATTGTTTTTTCTTTTCATATTCAGGTATTTCTCACTTTTCATGAATTTGCTAAACGATGTAGCCGATGATAGAGAGAAAGGTGCAGAGGTTCGACAGAATCATACAGCTCTACGCAATGTAACAGTTCAAGCTATGTCAAATCTTTTAAATGCTAATATTGAATCTGGTTTAGTACACGCCATAGGTAAGTTTGCTGAAGCTGTATACAGAATGAAATTATTTCTTCTTGAAGTGTATTGTTCATGATGAAATTCATAATCGTTACACTCTGAAACTTTCTTCATACAAGCTGAAAATATGATCTGTTTGATAGTGTAACCAGAGTCAAGATAGTGAAAATAGAGATAGTTTAATTGTCTAACAAGTGTAGCTTAGATGAATGATTGTGCGCTGAACATGTTGTCTTCTAGATGGACAACGCAATTAAATCAACTTGCCCAGAGAACACAGCCAAATCAGAAACTCAAATTATCTAACTTCTGGTTGGCAACGTGAATTGACTAACAAACTCACATAGCATTTTTAAATAATTAAAAATGCCCATTAAAATATTTCAAAAGAATGGATACTGAATAAAGAGTACTCATTTCGATAACCCCTTCATCATCAGGCTCTACAGTTATATATCCATCCATAATAGTGAATGAATGAATTAGTGTTATGAACAACATTAATATTGCTGTTTAAATAACATCGAATCAATAATATTGAGAGATTACAGCTGAACCGCATCAACATGAAATAAGCTAAATGTCAGAAAAAATTAGGAAAGATAACAATAATACAAATTCATGCATGAATTTATAGTCTCCACTGAAGGCCAGCCAGGGCAGAAGTAGTGGCTAGCTGGACTTGCTTGTTCTGCACACAAAGCACTCTTTGTTTGACGCGAATTGTAATAGCCTCTGCTGTTTGGCGGATGCGGTACTACAATGTTTTTGGCAATTTATTTGGCATCCGGTATATGATGATAGAGAAGGATTCTTCAGTGCTGACTGGCTTTGTGGCCCGTTTGGACCAGATAGTCTAATATTGAACTGTTGATTGCTTTCACTACACCTTTACTTAGCCATACTGAGAGATGCTGTCGAGCGAGCAGGAAAAATCAAGTTCCAAGAGCAACGGCCAATATAACTCGCTCCACCAAAAGCGCAGTTGAATTGGTAGATACAATTTGAAGTGGCTAGTCTAATCTAGGTACTTCATCTTTCAGTTGAGGAATTCCCATCGGTCGTGTAGAGAATAACACGTGTAGTTCGCCAGCACTAAAAGTTCTTTTAAGTGATTTTCTTAATTTCTTCGTAATTATTTCACTTGGTATATCACCCTTGAATTGCAGTTGTACATATAAAGGCTTCTGGTTAACGGATAGTGAGTAGTCCTTTTCCGTTTTCTTTGTCATGTGTTTCTTGATAAATTTGTCGGGATAGCTAGATATTTTCGATCGAAGTATCATATACAATGTTTAGTTCATCTTCAATTACTTCTTTTGAGCATATAGCTCTAACTGTGTGTGGCTGAGGGTCTTCACTATATCATTACTTGTTGATATGAGCGTTTAGGAAATAATCATATTAGTCAGTGGTTTGTAGTATAAAACCCTTATGGTTGGAGTCTCCACGTCTTTTTTGGCAACATTTTGATATATATATATATATATATATATATATATATATATATATATATATATATATATATATATGGTTATGATCTTGCCTATTGTGTCTTTTCAACGCATCCTTAATGTCAGTGAACCATATATCAGCGTTTTAATCAACCCAACTCTTTTAACTAGTTGACCAAATGTTATCACAGTCCCAGTAGAATTCACTGAGTCTCTATGCAATAAAAGCGACTGTGAATCTCAGCCTCAGGATTACGTTGTGTGTCGAAATGTGGTCAAAAAAGCTCTCTGCTGATTTTCTTATTTTTCACTCTGGAGTTTATTTTCACGCTTTGTGTAATAGGAGAGGAACAGAAAATTAGAAGGATATTTAACGTGATTGTAGATATCCAATATATGTGAACAAGTGTTTTTCTTTTTACTGCGCAAATAAGTTTAGTCTCTCGTAAAATTCCTTGTACAAGCAGGACCAAGAATAGTACCAAATACGTTCTAGACAGTTAGTTGTTACCTCTTCTTGAAACTATTACTATTCAGCGTTGAACTGATGTTCAACTTTATACACGTATTCTCCTTAATGAATTTGAATGAACCATGAACAGCAGTTAGTGCAAAATAAAATGGTATCATCATTTATTTCTCTGGCTTGTATGAAGCCGCGTACAGCTCAAAGAAATTATTAAGTGACAGGATTTCATCATTAGCTTACATTGGTTAGAGAAACATTGGAAAACGTGGGAGTACTGGATAGTTATTTCGCCCTAGTTTGGGACTCTTCATCAGTAAGCACCCACTGACAGGGTTCGAACCCACGACCTTCTGCTTACAAGGCGAGCTCGTAAACCAACAAATCAACACTTGAATTATGAAGTTTATGTACAGAACAATTTTAACATACTGTCAGCCGACAGGAGACTCCACAGTGAATAAACAGTACTCACATATTATTATGGTATACAAGTGTTGGTTTGTAGGGATTTGATTGATTTCAGGATTTCATCATGAGCTGACATTAGTATAGTTTTTACCCAAAGAGTTGAAGTTTAAACAAATCAATCAATCAATCAAAATCAATCAATTATCAAAAGGAGGCGGAGTTTAAATCCAAAGATTACATAATCAAGCGAAAGAGTGAATGAAGACATCCAGTCACCAGGGCAAGGAAGGAAACACTGACAACTCCTTCCTTCTGAATACATTAATTGGGTTTCAGGTGTGTTTGACAGCGATTGATTTCATTGATTAATAATTTTAAAGCACTTCATGATGTACACCTAATAATGAGTTATGATGAGATGATTAGCTATGGTAATACTGTAAACATTTATTTGTTCCCTCGGGACATAGGCTTTTCCGCACATCTTCAAAAAATCGGAGGAATGACCTTCTTTTGTGCTATCTCAATGTAACTACTACTACTACTACTACTACTACCACAGATACATGTACATTCTTATACACAGATAGAGTTAACATGAAAAGGATATCTGCCGACTTTTGACTGCAACAAACAACATGTTGTCTGATAAACCGGAACCCACTTAGCTGCAAGATGGGCTCTGGCTAGTTTTATGTGTTGTTCAGCCTTCTTTCGACTATTCCTACTGTGGTGAGAGCAGCTTGCTAGCCAATTGGTTGACATTAATCTACGTCAATATCTAGGTCCCTAATATGGGCCGTGAGAAAATATGAAAAAGGCTGTTTCAACAACCAATCACAGCAAACTTAAACGTGGGCAAATATGATTCGCAGATAGATGGCTCCACTTCCCGAGGAACTCGAAAGCAACCAATCAGAAGACTGTGTTTGTCTACTTGACTAGGCTGTAATAATGTATGTGAAATTTATATAAATACGCGTTGATTTCCGTAATAAAACGATCTGTTGCCTAGCCCTTGTCTTCTGTTGTTACACTACAATATTACCATCCTTAAAGTCGAGTTGAATGAAGACAAGCTTTTTCCCCCACCGTGATGATTTGTTTGTCGTTTGAGCCTATACGATTTCAATATTTGTCAATGAATTTCTTAGGATAACCGTTGTTCTAGAACATTTTTTCCCGAATTGGAAATTTTCACCATAATTTGTTTTTCTGTAGAGCCTATTCTTTTAGCTCTCTCTATAATCGTTAGTTTTGATTAGTTGTCGCTTATAGCTATTTGGACAAAGTTCAACTTCTTTTCGCTATTATACGTCAACTAAAAAGCTGCTTGTTGTATTCCTCCTCTCCTTCTTCTTGTTGTTCTGTCAACGACAGTGAAGATAAATATTGACAAGCAGTGTTGTATGATATGGCCTATTTCAATGGTATGTTTTTGTCAGTTAGAATAACACGATAAACTTATGAATATTTCAAACAACAATAATAATAATAAAGGGATCAACTAATTCATCCTGCTGAATTTTTAAATAGATAGCATTTATCTTAACTCTGTCTTTAACTAGTTCCCGCCTACTTAAAATTTTAAAAAACGAAGACAAAAAAAATGAACTGGAGTGATTCTTCCTAGTGGATAAACTGTTTTACTTATTTTTAGCAAAATTTTATTGGCTTGCTAGGAAACTATTGGTTACAGGATTGATCACGACCTGACATCTATTGGAGAACCATTGGAAAACCATGGAGTATTGGACAGTTTTATCATCCTAGCCTGTGGTACTCTTCAGCAGTAGTACCCACTCGCCTTCCAGTTAGGAGGCGAGCGTGTAGACCATTCTGCCACTGGGACCCGACCCAATGGTCCATTAATTCCATCTTCTGTCGATTCCTGATACATTTTTAGCGTAACCGCTAACCGATGTCACGGGCGAGCAATTGTCTTCTTGCCTGACTTAAAGGACTCCAAAGAAGACCCTTGGTTCAATGTCCAGGGGGTGCGTACTGATGAAGAGTCCCGAACTAGGATGAAACAGTTGTCTATAACACCCTGGTAGTTTTCTAATGGTCCCCTAACTGATGTGGGCTCGTGATTAGTCGTGTAAAATTTTTATCATTTTATCTGCCTTGACACACGTAACACAAGCGAATTCTGCTCGGAAAAGAAAATGCCTGAAATCTATCAGAGAATCCATTTAGTCTAGCTTAATTATAGTATTGCTAGTGTTTCTTGAGTTTAGAAGACAAAAGGATTGATGGGAGAAATGTTTAACCTTTCAAGATTACATCCTTGTCTATGGTACTCCTCCAATATGCGTAGAAATTAAAAATCCCCATCGTATAATCAGAATAAGATGGTTTTGAGCGAACAGTTGTTTTCGATAACTTCTTTTTCAGACTCTACAGATATAAATCCATGATTATTGGAATAAAACCGGCCAGCTCGTTAGCCACCGGTCAGTGACTATACATAGATTTGTATCGTATTTAACGCCGATCAAGTCAAAGATCTCTTTAGCCTACCTAGTTCTACTTCAAAAAATCTCACTTGTTGGTGAAAGGTGTTGACTTTGCATTTATTTAAGATGTTTACCACTCTAACAATTGATTTTTTCGTCATTAATTAATATTCTATCTTCAGTCCCATTAAAACTTACCATCAGTTGATTGCAGTCACGCTGTCCTCAAAACTATCTTCCCCCACCTATTTTGTGCTCAGGAGTAAAAGGCAAACTGCTTAATTTCGCCTTGTCCATATGTATCTGCCAAGTTAACTGCTCCTGTGGAGCCAGTTACATAGGCCGTGCAATTAGGCATATTTACCGTCGGATTTACGAACAACAACCTGCATAGTGGTTGGTTAAGTAAAGGACGAACAAAATCTATTACAGCGCTATTCTATCTCATCTTGTGGATACAACAGAGCACAAGATTGATATGTCAACGAGGCAGCTTTCAAAGTCATTTACCGCATACCAACAAATCTTAACTTCGCCTTAAGAGTTCGTTTCCTAAATATTGCTGAGACTGGCTGTTGGGATCCACATCGAGAAGCCTAATTTATGTGTTCAAAAGGAGCTAGTTCAGACATTGTTCATACCTTGGCCATCCAGTTTTGAATTATTATCCTCAGTATTTTGTAGAATTTTCCTTAATTTTCGTTGATGTGCATCGGTGGCATAGCGGTTAGGACTCTTGCCGATCATGCACATGGTTCGGGGTTCGATCCTCTACTTCTACGCACACCTGATACCTATGGTCTGCCTGCAAAATTTGGGCTACCGATGTCACATGCTGAAAATTCCATACCTGTACCAAATATACGGTGTGGCATCAAGCTGTAATAATATATATATATATATATATATAAACTAGTAATCGGTTCTAGTAGAGTTGTAGAAATTTCCAATACTGATTTATGCTTCATTTTTGGGGACCACGAGACCAATCATGTTTTTGCAAACAATAGTATTATTTTTCAAGTATTGGTTTTGTAGGGATTTTGTTTGATTGTATGGAAGATTTAATCATGAGCTGACATCAGTTAGAGAACCACTGGAAAACCTGGGAGTACTGGACAGCTGTTTGGTCCTAGTTTGGGATTCCTCAGCAGTACGCACCCACCGAGGTTCGAACCCAGGACCTTCTTGAATGGGCAGAAGTTAGGATTCAAGAACCATTGGATCAGGTCCCAATGGCTCAATGTTCTACGAGCTCGCCTTGTAACCAGAAGGTCCTGGGTTCGAACCCCGGTGGGTGCGTACTGCTGAACAGTCCCAAACCACTGTGACGAAACAGCTGTCCAGTACTCCCAGGTTTTCCAGTGGTTCTCTAACTGATGTCAGCTCATGATTAAATCTTCCATACAGTATTATTTTTGTTCCCTTGGGTTCTGAGAGGAACATAAGTCTACAACAGTACGTGTTCATTTTGTATTATCCTCTGCAGTCTTCTTTAGTTCATCCCACGATTGCCCATAGTCTCTAATCTCCTCCTCACATTGTCTCCTCCATATCACCCTCTGACCAGCGTCCCACTCACATACATATTATGTTAGATGTGCAGTTGCCTCTTTATGACAGGTTTAACATGAATTCAGTGTCTGATAATAGGGAAATCGAATAATAAGAAGAAGAAGAATAATATTATAAATATAAGAAATGATAAGTATACTATCTCACATACTTCATCTAAAAACTGTTTCTTCTTCTGATGTTCTGGTGATAATGGTGCACCATTTTCAGCATTATTAATCTCTTCTAGAATTTTCGGACACAACACTAACAGCATCATTTGTAAAGGCCAAACAAGCACTTTCTTTCGTCCACTTTCAGCGCATAATGACGTGAACAAATCGAATAGACGTTCACAACAATCTATAACATTAATTATTGAGGAAAAATATAAAAAGTAGAAAAATGATTATATTCTCAGAGAGGAGAAATAATGTTCTCAAGGGCACGAAAAATATGCACGAGTGACATATTATTGGATGAGTTTTGACGTATACATTCAGTTTTATTAACTAATGGTTATCCGGAGAACTTTATCACTTGTCACAGTAAAGAAAGACCACATCTCGAAAAGACAGCTTCTGTACCAAAGAAAGCTATCTTTATTAACCTACCATTCAAGGGTGACCAGATTATGCAGTTGACAGCTAGCTCAAAGACTTCGGTCAGCTATCAAACGCACATTTTATGCAGCATCTTTTTTTCTCACTTGCCGAACATTTTCGATCCCTGTTCCTACGATTAAAGGATGAAATTCTATGGACTCTACTTCAAACTGTATCTACAAGTTCACCTGCAGTTGTGATGACACTTATATACGTAGAAACAATAGAATGTTTCAATGTGGTCGTCGAAAAGAACATGTTCCAAAATGACTATTAAATCATATCGAAAATCCCAACGCGATTAATCTGAATAGAAATCCATCATCATCATCCATTGCAAAACACTTATTATTAATGTCAAGTCACAAAATCAATATTAATGACTGTTTCAAAATTATTTCACATAACTTTAATTCAGCGTTGTTTATTGAAAGTGATGGAAGCACTCTGGGGATTAATCACATACAGCCTAAACGGTGTGCACAATCTTCGCCTACCATGGACAACATGACCTTTTTTTAAATATGATTGGTCATTAGTATGTACTTTTGTTTTTTATTTTACTGAGTAATTGTCATCAACTTCATTTTATTATTGTTAGCCATGTTAGTTGTAAAGCGGTTGTGAAGAAACTACGAAATGACGATATCATCTCGCGGCGAAATTTGTCTTCTTAATGCCTTATTCAAATAATAATAATAATAATAATAATAATAATAATAATAATAATTTACTTTATTCCAAAAACTGTACTTGTGATACAGAGTGGAATTTTCAGCATTATTCACACAATATTGCATATAACTTCCTCAAATTATAAATAAAATTAATCACAAAGAAAATCTTCCACATTAACAATAGGGGTAATGTCAAAAACATGCAGCATATAAAATGGAAATAATAATAATGATAACAGCTAGGGTAATAATAATAATAATACAAGTGAAAAATTGCCGTGGGCTTGTTTCACACAGTATTGTCAATGTGGTATAGAAATCCTAGCATGTTTAAAAATATTGAATATAATGTTCTCTTTACATGATATGGTGAGGGGAAAAACAAAGATTACTGCAGTCATAGAGATAAGTTGGTGTTTGCAATTATGAGAGTAAAACAAAGAAGCAACAGGACCATAAATATAATAGAAATAATAAAAGAAAACATGAGAGTAAATAAGGTTGGATGGATGGAGGAAATTGTTTATTTACTAGATGAAAAAAGGTTAGTTAATTCTTTCCTGACACTATTTTCATCACATAAATCAGTTGTAAGGAATAAATTTTCGAAGTTAATATTTCTTGTATGTTTTACACAAGTGAAATACACTTAAATCTTAGACAACAATAAACTGTTGGAAATCATTTCTGCGATCATATTTTCATTGGTGATAATGATCTCGCTCTTTCCACTTTTAGCTGCCATCATTAAAAGATCTATTTTCTTGAGCGAGAAAATATCGAGCAAGATGATATTGTAAAACTACACAGTGCTGACTGACTCAGGCAAGCAGTGGCATACCACTCATATTAACCAGCAGGACTTGCTTGATAGCCAGATAGGGGTGATTGAACTACCGTTCCCCTGGTATGTGGCCGATCTCATCAGAGGTGTACCCAGTTCCACTCAACTCAGAAAGACGAATCAGTTCAAACCACACGAATCATAAATGGGTGGGAAAGTTCCAGAAACCTATCAAAGGGAGTAAAATCAAAACATCTGGGTATGGCCGAGGTACTAGTTATTCAAAAGCTCAAACCCACGCTATGTATCCAAAAGAAATACGTCCAACCCTTGCCCCTGTCATGGCCACCATACACAGGTAATTTTTTTAATAGTGACTATCCCATTGACTTTCTTATCCAAACTTCCTGTTTATTCATGTTAATTTTAAGTTTTTCTTAATCCCTATATTTTTCCTTCAAATTCCCAGTGGAACGTAGGGCTCCAAGCTAGAGGCTTGAAGTTTCTGTAGCACTAGTATTAATCTTTACAGGATGGGGTTGCTAGCCTCATGCCCAACCTTTCCTCTTTACCAGTCTCACTACTGGCTTAGCGAGGTAAAGGAGTGCGCCGGCCGGGGATCGAACCCCGACCATGAGCATGGTCGGCGAGCGTCCTAACCGCTGTGCCACCAACGCACCTAATCCCTATTTACACTACCATATTTTCATATCCAAACTTCCTGTCTCTTTTGTCATTTTATTATTTCTACAAATTTAATCCCTAACTGCATCAACAATTATTCGTCACTTTAGTTATGATCCCACTAGATTTCTTATCCAAACATCCTGTCTATTGTTATTTTTACATTTCTAATCCCCAATTGCACAATTAGTGTCAATCTTCTCAGTAATTATGATGCTACTTTGTTTGAGTTTTATCCATCCCTTTTTATTATGACATTTTAATTCCTAGTTGTAATATTATTAATCTGACCCTTGACCGGAAATTATTATGAAACTTTCTCGCCCATTTATCATAAATACACGAATGCACAGCCCAGTTCATGCTGATTTTGTCGAAAAGATAATTTCCTTCACTGCAATCGTCTTTTTAATACTTCCTATGATCCACTGTGTATATATTCCGCGAATCCTGAATAGCTACTTGGTTGAACCGGTCATACGATAAACCAAACTCACAATTTCCAATTTACAGAATTCTACGATGGTAAAATTTCACCGTACATTCCTTTGGAAATCAAGTTGTTCAGATCACAATATATGATCTGTTTGATAGCTCAACCTTAAACCAGTGAAACGGATGTCCGGTGTCCAGATCATCTCGATCTATCTGGCCAGCAAACACTGCTGATTCATAAAGAGTGGAATGCAATTACTAATCTCAGACAATCAGTAGTATGTACAGTTTTATGCAAAACATTTCTTTGTTTTCTTGATTAGCATTTATGGTGGTATCAAGCAGATCGATATATGATGATCGGAATAAGTCGGCTTTCAAAGGAAACCACGGTGGGATTTCAACACTTGAGCTGTGTTGATTGGAAAAGGGCTAACCAATCTCCAGATTGTGAATTCGATTTAAGATGATAAAATATACAATCATTGTTAACTGACTGATAGATGGAAACACGATACAAAAACCAGCATAATAGTAATTTTGACTAGTTAACGGGAATAGACAAGAGTGCTTATTATCACCAATGATAGTCCTAATTGTGGTGGACTGGATTATGCGTCAGACAGTGGGAAACAAGATGTCAGGGATATCCTGGACCGACGTGAACAACCTAGAAGACATGGATTTCGTGCATGAATGATTTATGTTTGATGTCAAACAAAATCGAAGACTTACAAGTAAAAACCGACCGACAAACTGGTCCGAGAAGCAGTCGGCGAAGACAGGACTCCAGGTGAACATAGACAAGAAGGTGGTTATGAAAATAACCAAACAACCAAACAACAACAGCAACATCCAGCGCCAATCACCATCAACAGGAGGGACTTGAAAGAGGTTACTTCATTCACTTATCTAGCATTGAGTATTGTCTCAACTAATCTGGAAATCTTCGTCACTCACTCAGCCAGCATCAACAACAAAATCCAGTCGGATTCTCAATACAAACGTCAAGTCAGTCAGCTCTTCTATGCGGATAAGAAATTTGGCGGGGGGATCACAAGGAATATTTCCAACAGGTTATTACAGACCATACCTTTATCAACAACTTACTGTCTTCGCTGGCTATATACTGAGGATCAGATGGCCGAGCCGGAAAGAATCACCAACAAGAAACTATGGGCACAAACAAACAAAACAAGAACTAATCGCCTAACAAATATGCAGGAGAAAGTGGAGATGGGTGGGGATGGACACTCGCTGAGGAGGCCGCTGGGTGACATCGCGCGGGCCGAAAGGGAAGTGGCGAGTGGGACGTCAGTGCAAGGGTGACATGGAGGAGATCGTGTGGAGAGGAGTTGAAACAGTATGGACTAACATGGATGCAGGTGAAAAGTACAGCAGAAGGAAGACAGAAGTGGCAAGTGGAGACGTGCAGTTCAAGCTCTATGTTCCACTAGGAACCCGAGGGAACAATAATAATAACGGGAATAACAGTCATGAAGAAGTAGAATATAGTTAGGGGAAGGGAAAATAACACTAGAGTAAATAAATATCGGAGATTAATGTGAGCAAATGGACACTGGAAACAGGAAGTTGTAACATAAGAATTTAAAATCGTAATCATGCAACATTTAAAGAAATCTAATGGAGAAAAGGAAATGAAGTATCAAGGTAATAAAACAAGACAATTAGGTTTCAACTAATATAGAAGGGGGGTGGGGAAATGCATCCAGGTTACTGTTATAATTAACCTGGATACTAGTAATGGCAAACTGATAAAAATATAAATATCTCTCAGAAGGGATATGAGTTCCTTCAAGGCAGTTGCAGATACGCCTTGCTGATGAGTGCCAACTAACACGAAATCTAGGTCGAGCAAGGCTTCCTGTGGCTAACTGACTCCAACCATCTAATATCATCACATAAATATCTCGTTGGCCAAGTACGCTTTATAGTGTTCAGTGTATATTCCATAAAAATTAATGACCATCAAGAATGACTGCTAAACATATACTGCTATATGATGCAAAACAGTGACAGGTATTACCAGCGATAAATGAACAGACAAATAGATGTAGGACTATTTACACAAGTTTACAGTTCACAGTTTGTATAATTCTCTTTTAAAAAGTTCATCATATTAAATTAACCGATATAAATTGTGACACTAGACGAATTCCAGGAAATCTTCGCAATTATGTATAAGATAAACACAGTGAGCAATTGTGATCAGCGTTACTAAGATAAAACATCTATCAGGTCTTAACACCTGACGACCACAACTTTCATTAAGAATCTTAATAGTGTCAGAACAAGTGATACACTTTGTATTAACCTTAAAAGGGGGTTTTGAATCTTTCATTTGAAAGGCATATTAGCTATTTGGGAGAGGAATGATAGTAGTCGGGCAGACTTGATTGTAACTCCTACAAAAACGTTTTCGCACCAATTCGCCTTATTGGAAATAAAAATTAGACGGAATTGTTAAGGGGAATCTTACAAAGTGACTATAGGCGCTAAATTATCACAGACGTAGATGGTTAAAACTCTCCTTGGCGTTTGAAACTATGGGCACTGGGTTCGAGCCTCAGTGGGAACATCATCACTCACTGAGAAATGCAGGTACATCCAGATGACGAGTCCCAAATAGGACGAAACGCGCGTGATCCTGGATTCCACTGCTAGCCACCATCCACCAATTATCTACTCAGCTTCATGAAATAATGAGTAGCACTCAAAAGCCAGATATACATTAACAAGCCAAGAAAAACCAGTGTCATAAAGCTTATTCTTTAAAGGGAAAAACTAAATTCTCAATGATATACAAAATAGAACTTTGGCACTATAGTAGAGTATAATTCCTTTATGGAGAAAATTTATTTGATAAATTTTCACAGGATTATACAGTCATATTTACTAATGATGACCACGTTTCGAGCACAATTTATTACTGCTCATAATCATATCAAGTTACACAGCTCTCCAACTTCGTTCATATAATTCCATTATTTCTCTTCTCTCGACTTGATTGGTGGTGATATTTTCCCTATTTCTGATATTAGTGATAAGTCGTTCCTATTGTATGTTTTGGGTGTAAATTAGACGAACAAAGATGATAGGACTCAGCATAAAATAGTATATCATCCTTTCTCACGAATCGTGTGATTTATCTTGCGATGGAGTTACTATGTGAATCTATCATTTCTCAAGCTTAGTGTCTTTTGTCTCACCTTGGTCCTTGTCGGATCGCCAACCAATGAGAATAGCCATTGCCAACCAATGAGAACAGTCCATTCTTACGATTGTCAGCCAACTTTATTATTAGTAAAGAAAATGTGTAAATATTATGTGTTGTTTCCTAAAATGTACAATATACACTATCTTACAGTTGCAGGCCAACATTTGTCTTTTGATATTTGCATGGCTCAGTGAACCGGAGGGTACAACGAACGCTTAGGCGTATTAGCATACCACTCGAGTGCACTACCGTTATAGTGATTTACAGGTGCAGACATAACAAAGCAGCCACGGATTTATTCGTTTCATTTCAGTTATAACAAAATAACGGCCTGGGGGGCGTCGGTGGTATAGCGGTTGGGATGTTTGCCGACCATGCATATGGTCCGGGGTTCGACCCCGGCCGGCGCACTCCTTTACCTCCCTGAGCCAGAAATAATGCTGGTAAAGAGGAAAGGTTGGGCGTGGGGCCAGCAACCCTATCCTTTAAGAATAAACACTGCTACAGAAACTCCAAGCCACTGGCTAGAAGCCCTATGTTCCACTGGGAACGTGAAGGAAAAGTTATAACAAAAGATCAGTAATCAACCCCTCTCTATTATAATATTATTATTATTATTTCCTTGGGTTCCGAATGGAACATACGAGGCCTTAACAACACATTTCCACTTTCTTACATTATCTACTGTCCTTTCCACATGGGCTCATGATCTTTCATCTCCAACTCTCACGACCTACTACATGTCACCCTCTCACCAACGATACACTAGTTGCTGGTAGTTGGGTTCGACAAAATTGTTCTGTCATAAACCATCATGTAATATTACTTTTGTGGTTGGTTGTTCTTTGTTCGGCAATATTAACCGACAATCTTGGTTGTGAACGCCATTATCACCATCTTAAAATTTTGTATTATGCAGGATTACTCACACTACCACAACATGCACTGCATTAGTGCTGACAATAAAAAATAAAAGGAACCCTGAAATGTTTATTTTATGATTGTTTAGTGTAGTTCAATCAAATTAACTGTTCATCTTGGCTATAAACATTCTTAAGAACATTTCATAACTTCATGTATGATTATAGCTGTCACTGTCCACCACGCACACACATATCATAGCTTCCACTAACCAATACTGAAATATTTTTTTCATTATTGGTATTTATCTTTCTTTCTACTTGGTATTTTTATTTGCATTTTTTGTTATTTCTGTGTTTCTTTTTGGTTTTTGTTGTTTTTTTTATATTTATTTTTTTTGTAATACTCCTTTTAAATGTACGATGAAATTAAATGCAATATTGTAGATATGTGCTGAAAATTCCACACTGTACCGCAAGTACTGTTTCTGGAATAAAAGCGACATTATTATTATTATTATTTTGATTCCACTAGAGCGTTAGTCTTCACTGAGCACGATGTCATTCGACGGCTACCTGAACGTATAACTCGATCCGTCTCCATTTTCTCCAATATATATTTGTTGAGCAATCTGCTCTTGGTTGGTTTGTTGTGTTGCCATCTAACTATTCATGTATCTGTATTACTTTTGTAGAATTGTAACTGTCCCATCCTATTATGTGATTGTATGTTAATGCATGCAGTGCAGTTGCTGACTTTTTTTTGTTTTGTCTAAATGAATTATCTTCGCGGGGTTACTCAACTAAATTCTCATGTTCCGATAAACTGACTAATTGCCCCTATCTAATGGTTTGACAGTATGTAGTTGACCACATTAACAGTTATTGCAAGGTTACTTTGTAAATTACATTATTCTGTCTAAATGGGTCAACATGGTCTTTTTGTGGTGAGAGCTGACTGCTAGCCAAAATTGTAAACACCAATTGACGTCAGTGTTTACGTTCCAAATCGGAGTCATGCGAGAAGACAAGAACAAGGCTTAACCTTGAGGAACTCAACAACCAATCACAGCAGACCTAGCGTGGGCGGATACGATTCACACATATATCAGCGGACTGTCTAAGAAACGACAACAAAGAGATGACACAATAACCTTCAGCAGGAAAACAACCGATCAGAAGACGTTGCTTCTCTGCTAACAATAACGCTAATAATAATAATGTACATAGAAATCTATAAGTATCTGTTGATTTTCACAATAGACGATCTGTTGCCTGGCCCTTGTCTTCTGCCGTTACAGTGAGTGTAATCATTATGCCAAGAAACAAAATTAACTTGGTGTTTTGCTTCAGCGAAAATAAGCTAGACGACAGACATGTGTAACTAGATTTAATATTTGTTTGTAAGCATGAGTAAAATTCATCTTTTAGTTTCAGTAAATTTATGTCCCGCTTAAAAATCTCAACTTGTATTTCTGAATCTTTTGGTTAGATTAAGCCCATCAAAGCTTTTTAAGGTGAAAACCACCCTCCCCCAAGTATTAATGAAAGACAAACGGATAGCACTCAGTAGTCTATTAGTGGACACTGTCTAACAGTGAGATTTTTGAGGAGAGAAAAAAGAACTACACAGTAATAAGCCATATTATAAAACTCTTCAAATACTCCTCTACAAAGCCACATTTCTTTTTCCTTTATTCCTTCACGTTCCCAGTGGAACATAAGGCTTGAAGATACATGCTTGAAGTTTCTGTAGCAGTGGGCTTTTCATTTTTACAGGATGGGGTTGTTAGCCGCCTCATGCCCAACCTTTCCTCTTTACCAGCTTTATTTCTGGTTTAGTGAGGTGAAGGAGTGCGTCTGTGGCTGGGGATTGATTCCCGGACCATGTGCATGGTCGGTGAGAATCCTAACCGCTGTGCCACCGACGACACAGATTTAATCGCATTTAATCTGTATTAATTAATAATGGATAAAAACAAGGAAGTAACTTTGCATGTGAAAAGTAGGCTTTATCATATGAAGCTTTATTTTTAGTGAATATAATTATTAATTTGACTGAAACATACCGGCTAATTCATCATTCGGTTTCTTTTGTAAATCATCGAATTCTTGTGGATAATTTTCAAGCCAATTCCAAATGGCCTGAAAAATATTTGATTTTCGTTAATAATATACACGTATATATATATATATATATATATATATATATATATATATATATATATACTAATATAGGTAATGTTTAAAGAAACACAAAATGAAATAAAAGCTTTTATAAAATTATATTTGTAAAATCTCAGCGAAATTGTGAAATGACTTAATTCCAACGTTTCGTTCGGCAATCTGGTCCGAACTTCTTCAGGGAAATTAATCGAAATTAACATAACATAGTTTATATATAATGGGACACATCTTGTTTTTAAAAGCTTTGTCCAATCATGAGCCATGAAACAGGCATCAACATGCATAATAAACAAAATTGTATGTTAATATATAAAAACGATATCTCTTGTTTTTAAATTGTTTGTCCTGGCATATGAATCACGAAACAGATATCAACAGGTATAAATTGTATGAACTGTAGTCAAAATTTGATTCAAAATTATTCTACTTTTAATAGAATTTTTGATTTTCCCGTCGATTGATTCGACCGAAATGCTCGGTCTCAAGTTGACATGTCGGCTTCTTGTGCAGATGCTTCGACGATGTCTGGGCATTTAGTATTTAATTGGTGGATGGTGACTAGCAGTGGAATCCAGGATCATGCGCGTTTCGTCCTATGTGGGACTCGTCAAATGGATGTACCTGAATTTCTCGGTCAGTGATGATGTTCCCACTGAGGCTCGAACCCAGTGCCCATATTTTCAAACGCCAAAGCGTTATCCACTAGACCACTTTGGCCACGAGAGCCACCTCTTGTGCAACGGATCAACCTGAGACCGAACACTTCGGTTCAATCAATCAACGGGAAAATAAAAAATTAAATTAATATGACCCGTTGCACTAGAGGTGACTCTCGTGGCCAAAGTGGTCTAGTGGATAAAGCTTTGGCGTTTGAAAATATGGGCACTGGGTTCAAGCCTCTGTGGGAGCATCATCACTAACCGAGAAATTCAGGTACATCCATTTGACGAGTCCCAAATAGGACGAAACGCGCGTGATCCTGGATTCCACTGCTAGTCACCATCCACCAATTAATTACTCTACTTTTGTTAAAATATATGTGTATATGCAGTACACAATAAGGTGTGTATATGTTTGTGGATGAACAGTCATAAAACATTTGTTATTGTTTCCATCAGAAGGCATAGATAATCGGGAATTCGACCAAGTGTGACTAGTTGTTGATCCATATCCAATTTTTATTTATTATTCAGGATTTGCCGTGCATCAGTTAACATCACACCTTCATGTCTGTTCAAACTGTTGGGATATACCCATATATGTAGGGCTTCTGCAGTCAGTCTTTCTTTATATGAACCAAAACCTTTCTGCAGAACCTTAGTCTTATCAAAGTCGATTTTTTGTCCCGTTTCTATCGAATGCAGTGCAATCGCCGAGTTATTTTTTTCTAGCTTCTTCAAGTCTGCAGAAGTCTATGGAACCACCTTTAGACATTGTTTATGCTCTTCCACTCTTATATTTACCTGTCTGAAAGTTTCTCCTACATATACGGCGTTATCACAATTCTGAAGGTTTTCTTGTTCTATTTTATCCTTAACCTTCACCAGTAATGAGCGTAAGGTATTAGTTGTACGAAAATACACTCTTATGTTATGATCGTTAAGGATTCGCTGTTTCATCGGATATTTCTTTGCGATAAGGAATCACCGCTGTACTAACCCAATTCTTAGCAGCAGGTTTCGATTCATCTTCACATTTTAAATACTTTTTTATGAAGTCTTTAGGATAATTATTTGATTCAAGAGTGGATTGAACCAATTTTAGTACCTTGTTAATATCTTCCTCCTCACAGCCAAACGTCTAATTACTGATTTGTAACAACAACAATTTGACATTAGTCATTACAAATATATGTGATGACTGCTTACATATTTCTATTGGTAAAAATGTTCATGGACAAATAAACTTCAAATAAACTGACTTCAATTTTTGTAAAAAAATTTTTGACTATATATTTTGATGAATAATAAAATTCCGAATAAATCTGCTGAAGAAGCTGTGGCTTACACGGCGAAACGTTCAGAAAAATCTTGTTTTGATTTTCTTAACACGCTGGGATTAATGTAAATAATTTATAATGAATCAATCTGACTCGGCGCTCAAATTATTCCAAGAAGTTCGTAACATCTCCCGTCTGGAAACTTATAAAATGCTAAAAGAGTTGGGAGAACTACCGAATCAAGTTTCATGAAATACTCAGATTATGGCTTTTGTAGGGACTGCGATTAATCTCAATGCAGATTTCGTCATAAACCAACATAAAGCTAGAAAATCATTAAAAACCTGGAAGCACTGAACAGTCAGTCGGAGGAAGGATTGCTCGACCTAGGTTTCGTGCTAGTTGGCACTCACCAGTCAGTCAGCAAGGCATATCTAGAACCTTGAAGGAACTCATGACCCTTCTGAGATTCGAACCCACGTCACTCAGTGACACCTGCAGTCAGAGACGTTACCACTGAGCAATTCGGGTTTGCGATTCACCTCCTGTAGGACTGTAGTGGGTATTTTGACTGGACACTAGTAACTAGTGCGACGTTGCAGATACGCCTTGCTGACTGGTGAGTGCCAACTAGCATGAAACCTGCCGATTGCCTCCAACTATCTAATATCATGAAATCAATGTGCACCGTGATGTCCAGCTACCTAGAATGGTGGCCACATTGCAAAAACCTGAATGATAGAATTCAGTCTGTACCAGAGAAAGGACTAGACATGTCGCACAAGTTACCAGTGTCCAATCAAAATAGATGATTTTATTATCAACAGGGTCAGCTGATTTTCACTTTCAGATGTCTAATGCTTTCTGTCACTCAACCTATGAGGAAAGTGCTTCCTCCGAATGAGGATAGTTATTACCGTTGTCAGTAAATTAATAAAACCATAAAAATTGGACGAGCATACTTCCTCATAATTCTCGCACTTATTTACACTTTCTCACTCTGGCGAAATGGCCATTAATTAATTAGATAAAGTAATATCGATGTATGTGTGAAAACATCAGTATTTACCGAAAATGAAATGTTCAGATTTGATTAACACTTTAATTTATCACTTTTTAACACAGAATATTCAATCGGCCAGATTACTAAACGTTTGGAATTTATGAAAGACAATGTGGGTTTTGAAATATGTTGATTTTTAATGATGATGAAAGACCATTAGACAAGTAAATAAATTATTCAAGTGTTGGTTTGATTGGTTATAGGATTTCATCATGAGCTGACATTGGTTACAGAACCATTGGAAAACCTGGGAGTACTGGACGCTGTTTCGTCCTAGTTTCGGATTCTTCAGCAGTACACACACACCGGGGTTCGCACCCAGGGCCTTCAGGTTACAAGGCGAGCTCATCGACCGGGTCTCAGTGACTCAATGGTCTACGAGGTAACTCGCCTTGTAACCTGAAGGCCCTGGGTGCGAACCCCGGTGGGTGTGTACTGATGAAGAATCCGAAACTAGGACGAAACAGCGTCCAGTACTCCCAGGTTTTCCAATGGTTCTGTAACCAATGTCAGCTCATGATGAAATCCTGTAACCAAATAAATTATTATTTATTTAAAATACAGAACCTTGTACAATATAGGCATCAAAAAGATGAGCCACACTAGTGTGGGGGTTGGGATACCACCCCCGCGCCCAGACCAAAGCAAGTGGTTCTCTTAAGGGATCACTCCTGAACCTTCCATTTGAAGTCTAATGCTCAAAGCAGCCGAGCAGCATAAAGAGCTACGTTCTCATGGTTTCCAGTGACCGATACAGGTTCATACACCGTTCCATCCATCTGGATTCCGGAGTAAATGTACGATATAGTAACTGCTTTTAGTCTAACCGTTACCCAAACAACCTTCTTGGCATGGTAAAACCTGCCGGAACATAAATTCCCACCAGTGTAGCTCGTTGTGTTGCTGCGGTATACAATCCCGACAACCGCGTTAAGATAACAGTTATCGATCGGAATAAGCAAATAAAACCTGTGACTTATGAAGTCTAAAGCCACTGATATTAAAAAGTGTAGCTCAGTATATCGACTAGTATGTTGCTCCAGTATGAGTTATCAGAGTGCCAGTGGTTAACCAGTAGAATGGCCGAAATCCACACAGGTGGTTCGGTTTCCATCCCATGCCCTCGCATTCTTAGACCTCACCTAGCAGGTAGTAAACCAAGAAAGAAGGGAAGGTTAGGCATGAGTCTAGCATTTCCACACTGTTAAAACAGCATTACCACTCATGAAACTTCAAAAACTTAAATCCCTATGCTCTACTGAGAAGGCAGTTAGAGAAGAAGATTTACCGAAGCAATTTTTAGTTATCTTCTTATATAATGCATTAACGTTTGTAATCATATCACACTGTTTCTGGGTTTTCAATAGACTTTTTTAGTTTTGGAGTTGATGACATTTTTGAAATTGTAGATTTAGAAAATTGAGCAAGAATCTATTTTTCATCAGAGATATTTTTATGCAGAGTAAATTATTGAATTTTTTTGGTTACATGATTTCAACATAAGCCGACATTGGTTAGAGAACCATTGGAAAACCTGGGAGTGCTGGACAGTTGTTTCGTCCTAGCTTGGGGCTCTTCACCAGTACACACCAAATGGGGTTCGAACCCAGTGGGGTACAGCAGGTGAGGAGTGAGGACAAACACCCACCACGGATGATATTTGCTAGTGGTCACGCTATGTCGTAGATTGGCAGAAGTTGGAATTCATGAACTGGCGATTGGATAGGGTCCCAGTGGCTTAATGGTCTACGAGTTCGTCTTGTAACCAGAAGGGTCTGGTGTTTACTTATGAAGAGTCCCAAACTATGACAAAACAGGTGTCTATCACTCTCAGGTTTTCCAATGGTTCCCTAACTGATATCAGCTCACGACAAAATCCTGTAACCAATCAATCAAGTTCCCACGAACTGATACTTGGGTATTTAATTTTTTATCAATGGATGTTACATACAATTTGAAAGGATGGTAAGAAGTAATCTGAAATGGAGTTAGTGAACAGTTGTGCAGTTAAACAGAATGACCAAATAGAGACAATAAGGGAAAATAGTTAGACTGTAGAAATGGATTCTTCTCTAATGACTTAGAATTTCCACTGACATTTAAATGATCCATAGGGACTGGATTATGCGTCAGAAAGTGCGATACCAGAAGACAGGGATATCCTGGACCGACGTGAACAACCTAGAAGACATGGATTTCGCGCGTCGATGATTTATGTTTGATGTCGCTGTCACAAAATCGAAGATTTACAAGCGAAAACCGACAAACTGGTCGAAGAAGTGGACAGTGAAGACAGGACTCCAGGTGAACATAGACAACACGGAGATTATGGAAATAACCAACCACCACCAACAACAGCAGCAACATCCATCGCCAATCACCATCAACGGGAGGGATTTGAAAGAGGTTACTTCATTCACTCACTCATGTAGCATTGAGCATTGTCTCAACTACAGGAAGTCGGAACGGACGAGGATGTCAAATCGAGAATCGGAAAGGCGAGAAACACACACACTCATCAACCTGAAACCAATCTAATCTGGAAATCTTCGTCACTCACTCAGCCAGTATCAACAACAAAATTCAGTCGGATTTTCAATACAGACAACGTCAAGTCAGTCACCTCTTCTATACCAATCGGATCAGAAAGTTGGCGGGCGGGTCACAAAGAATATTTCCAACAGGCTATTGCAGACCAGACCTTTATCAACAACTGTCTACGCTGGCTCTATACTGAGGATCAGATGGCCAGGCTGGAAGGAATCACCAACAAGAAACTATGGGAACAAACAAAGAAAAGAAGAAGCGATTGCCAACCAACAAATATGCTGGAGAAAGTGGAGATGGACAATGGGTGAGGAGACAGCTGGGTGACATCGCGTTTGCGTCAAGCGATTGCTCGAGTGGAACCAGGCCGAAAGGGAAGTGGCGAGTGAGAGGTCAGTGCAAGGGTGACATGGAGGAGATCGTGTGAAACAGTATGTTAAGTTGAAAGAGTATGGAAAAGCATGGATACAGGTGAAAGGTACAGCAGAAGACAGAAGTTGCAAGTGTAGACGTGCAGTTCAACCCCTATGTTCCACTAGGAACCCAAAGGAACAATGATAATAATAATAATAGGGAGGATTTTAATCACTTATTTTAAGTATAATAATTATTTTTATTTTTCTATACTTTTATTCCTTTTTTATTTCGGGGTGGAACGTAGGGCTTTAAGTGCGCGCCTTGAAGTTTCACTAGCAGTGATGTTGTTACTTTGTACTAGTTGGGATTCCAAGTTTCACACCCCCCATCCTTCCCCCTCGCACCTTTTTATTGGGCTTAAAACCCCGGTTAAGAGAGGTAAATGTGTGCGACGGCCTGGGATTGAACCCCATAACACATGCATAATGGGTGAGCATTCTAACACTGAAGTACAAATGCACAAATATAATAGAGATAATAATCATGATAGTAAAAACTATTATTATTATAAAGAAATGAAAAATAACAAATCAACTTACTCTTTCCAAATAAACTGCAAGATGTAACCAAGTAGATTTTTTCAATGATCTGAATCGATTACATATTTCTTTACATTGAGAGAAAAATTAAGTTGATTGAATAAGAAAATGACAACCTACCGACTATAAGACGGGATAATTTACGTATATCTAAATTTAAGTGTTGAATCAATTCTAGCTCATTAGCTTGATCAACATTCGATTCATCTTGAGCAGCCAAAGCTAAACTATTTTGAATATAGAAAATATCAATACTTTATATTAGTACGAAATATTGTATAGTATATCATACTAGTCAGTAATAATAATAATAATAATAATAGTAATAATAATCACCCCTACTTATTCACTATAATTTAGCTAGCTCAAGCAAGAAGATAACATGAAGTAGTTTCATAAATGATGAGTATAGCAGAGGAATCCAGGGTGCGTATTTCGTCCGATATGGGACTAACCAGTTAGAAGTATTCCTTACATTCTCTATAGTTTGGTTTGTAAGGATTAGTTATGTTTTTACGAGTTGACCACGGATTGATATCAGTTAGAGAACCATTGAAAACCTGCACTGGAGTACTGGACAGCTGCTGTTTTTTCATCCTAGTTTGGTAATCATAGGCAGTACGCACCCACCACCAGGGTTCGAACCCAGGACCTTCCGGTTACAAGGCAAGCATGCTCGTATACCATTCAGCCACTGGGACGTGATTCAATGGCTAGCCCATGCATGAATTCTAACTTCTACCAATTCGTGTTTTAGCGCGACCCCAACCATTGTCTTTGCATTCCCCAACTGAGACTCGAACCCAAAGCTCATTGTTTCAAAGGCCAAAGTGTGATCCACTAGACCACTTAGGCCACTGAGAATATCATCACTTGCTGGGGAATGCAGGCACATCCATCCACTAGCTGACAAGTTCCAGTTATGACGAAATACGTATCTTAAATTTCATTGCTAGCAACTATTCACCAAATTATAACATGAACAAAATGTAAGTACCTCATTGACTGGGTACACTTTATATTAATCAGGATATTGTATTGTATACAATTTAATGCTCATTAGACATATGACTGCTAAACATGCTTAATATTAATAGCGAAGCCGACAGGTGTTAAAAGCCATAATCAAGATAAGGAGAAATGCAAAACTTTTTACAGAAATTTACATTTCAATTTGTCGCTGTGAAATTAACAGATACAGAGTATGACATTAAACGCAGTCCTGAAAATGTTTAGAATTCGTAATAAGATAAAGAGGAAATGATTTGGGGGGGGGGCAGTGTCACTTAGATCCAACATTCATTAGATTTCAACACCAGTTGAGTCTAACCTTGATTATGACTTTAAATAGCATAATAATAACTGATATATGCAATTTGTATCAGCCTCGGAAGGTGTCCGCAGTTCTTATTTGAAAGTCATGTGACTACCAATATATGTGGTTAGAGAAACGTGTTCATTAGCCTGAATAACATTAGCTTTGTTTTCGATAACTTCTTCTTCTTCTTCTTCAGGCTCTATAGTTATAAATCCATGCATAATAGAGTACATATAGCCAATAAAGGCAAATGAAAACTAATATCAGAAACTGCATTGGTCGTACCTAAAGGAATTTATCTTTACGCACTCGTGAATATATTCATGTTTGGCTTGGGAAAAGAGCAACCAAATCATTAAATAGTGGAATTCTGTCTCATCTAGTGGGTAGTGAACACAGCATCAAAGTAGATGAGTCATTTACAGTTGTGTATAGGGTACCCTAACTGAACAATCTCCCCAAAGGCACACGATTACGCCTCCTAGCCGTAGCTGAGGCTTTAAAGATTAATAGAGAGACCAGACCTATGTGTACAGAAAAAAACTTATTCACTCCCTTTGTCTACCCTGGTCACCAGGATCATAATTTTTCGTACTATTATTATCATTTTGTGATTGTCATGTCTTTATTATGCATTTCTTCACCCAGTTCATTTCACCTCATTGTTACCCTTACTTTTTGTCAACCTTTATGATTTTATACTAGGCCTACCAATTCTGTAGCATCTTATTCCAATTTACAATTTAGCCTCTTTATTTTATCATTAGACATTATCGGTTAGCCTTCACATTCAGTTTCCCCTTTGTTAATGTGTGTTCGTGTGTATGTTGTGGTTATCGCATTTCTCTCATCCCAGTGACACTTGTATTCTGTTGACTATAAAACAACACTATATCACCCGATTGCTCATTTACACCTCATCACATTTTTTCTGACTATGCACCCTATACACATTTGATTGACTATGTTAACTAATTGACTATCATCTCAACTTGCACATGCACCCCAATACAGTTTCTGATATTATTTTCATTTGTCTTTATTGGCTATATGTACTCTATTATTCATGGATTTATAACTGTAGAGCCTGAAGAAGAAGAAGTTATCGAAAACAATTGTTCGCTCAAAATTTTGTTTTAATACAATGTTAATATGAAATATTGTATAATGTATCATACTGTTATCAGATGGTTAAAGGCGATTGGCAGGAAGCCTTAGACCTTGGTTTCCTGCATGTCATCACACGTCAGCAAGGCGTATCTGCAAACTTGACAGATCTCAATTCACCCTTTGAGAACTAAACCCAATTTTCAATCAAAAGTATCTAATACAGTCTTGCAGGAGATCAGCCGCGAGTCTCTGATTGCAGCACTTGGTGACACGAGTTAGAATCTCAGGAAGGAGGTGACTTCCTCCAAGACTGCGTATACGTCTTGATGATGAGTGTCAGAAAGCACAGAACCTAGGTCTAAAGGTCCTTGAAGACTGCCTCCAACTGTCTAATAACAACAATTCACAGTGCACACAATGTGACCACATTGTAGACTCAACTGATAGACTTCAGTGTGCACTAAACAAAGGACTAGACACATGAAAACAGGTACTCACTGCCTATTTTTTAATCAAATGTATCACATTAGTCATTCAGATAAGTTCTATTTTATTCACATGAAAAATGAAACAAAGTATGTGGTGGGTGATTGGATTCTTCCAAATCCTGGGTTAATCGTACTCGTTTCCTTTTAGACAGAATCTAATTATTTAAATGTCTTAGTTGCAATTAGATTAATTGGGTGAACTGAACGTTTATCAGAATTAAAGCTAAAGCTGTCAGGATTTTTGTTCCGTAAGGACGATTAAAGTCAGTTAAATGAATACCCAGGAGGGCACGGATGAAAAAAATCTGTGGTGAGAGGAGGCTGCTAGCCAAATTGGTAGACATTAATTTACGTCAATGTTTATGTCCCCAATATTGGTCGTGAGAAAATATGAACAAGATCGATTCAACAACCAATCACAGCAGACTTTGCATAGGCAGATGCAGTTAACATATACATGACCTGACATTCAAGAAACGGTCACAAAGAGATGTAAGGTCAACTGCCTGTGAGAAACAACCAATCAGAAGACTGTGTTTGTTCGCTTGAATAAGCTATAATAATGTACATGAAAATATACAAATACGTGTTGATTTCCTTAATAAAGGATCTGTTTGGCTGGCCCTTGTCTTCTGTTGTTACAAATCAACATATGCATGAACTGTCAAACAGCAGTAATGTTTTCACTATTGAATGAAAAATGAAATATTACATCTGTTATTGGTGCACATGAATAAATATGTATATGTGTAAAACTTGGGCACTATAGTAGTATGTAATTCCATATTGATTTGTTTATTAGATATATCACACACTGATGAAACAGTATTGTTTACTGGATGACACAATTTCAAACACAGTCACTTATAACCACACACACACAACTTTGAAACTTTCGTTTTTTTATTCCTTCACGTTCCCAGTGGAACATAGGGCAGCTTCAAGCTAGAGGCTTGAAGTTTCTGTGGCAGTGGTGGTTATTTTTACAGGATGGGGTTGCTAGCTTCATGCCGAATCTTTCCTCTTTACCAGCTTTATTTCTAGTTTAGCGAGGTGAAGGAGTGCGTCGGTGGCCGGGGATCGAAACCTGGACCATGTCCATGGTCGGCGAGCGTCCTAACCGCTGTACCACCGACGCACATTTCGTCTTATTAGTGTTATGTACTCGTCGCCAATAGGTTATGATGTCACTGCCGATATTATGGTGTCATCGAGTGTAAATATACGCTAATGAGACATAACGGACGATAACGTACAGACTGGTATTGCTGAGTACTTAATTTGTCCTGACGCGAAAGGGGAAAAATCAGAAGACCACCATGTTCACGATGATATGTGTATTTTCCAACAAGGGAAAATTAACTGTCACACAAGAGTGTGAGTGGTAAGGTACTAAAGAGTACGAAAGGTGTGAAAGTGTGTATTGACTGTACAATTAAAAAGTATACATGAAAATGACTAACATACATGAACCAATAAGATAGACAGTAGTTTTTCTTACTACCATTGGATTCTGATTGGTTGTAATGTCATGTGACAAAAAGATCATACATTGTTTATTTAGTTAATGGACAGACAAAATATATTGTGAGTTATAATGGAATAACGATCAATACACATATAGCAAATATATCAGACTGTCAAAACAAAGAATACATCATGTGACTACATATCAATTAGTTATACTTATTCTCTCTCTCCTGTTCGTAGTAGGGGCATTAGAATTTTCCAAATATCCGGGATAGGTGTTCAATCATTTCTGTTGTACGTATTTTCAGTTGATTCGATAGAAAAGCCTCCGTTATCAGTCTCTACTTCGACCCTGTTATATTAGATTTTGGAACTGTCATCTTATCCGATCCTATTATATGGTTGTGTCACCGCATGTAGTGTTACAGTTGTACTATTCTCTAGATTTTCTGCCTTATTTGGGTCAAATAACCTAGATTTTATTAGGTTTTTGTGCTCTACTAGCCTAGCTAATCCCGTTCTACTACTTCAACCTATGTATACCGCCTGACAATCATTACAGATCCGGTATTAAATAAACTCAATTGTTTTGTTTAACTGACTCCACAAGATCCTTCAACCGACAAAGTTTGTTTCTAATTGAGTTTGTGGGTTTGAATGCCACTTTTATTCCTGCATATGTACATGAATACATAACAATCCCAATTATTTTGATAGTCAAATATTGGTTTGTAGGGCTTGGTTGATTGGTTACAGGATTTCATCATGAGCTGACATTGGTTAGAGAACCATTGGAAAACCACCAAGGAGTACCGGACAACTGTTTCGTCCTAGCTTGGGA